TTCTGACACAGTTGTGCAAACAAGTCTTCAGACCCAGTTGCTTGTGGTAAAGGAAAGTATGCTTCCCAAGGCTCAATGAGCTGTTCCTCCTGCTCTCATGGTTTTTATTGTCCATCAATGATAACAGCAGTTCAAATTCAGTGTCCAGGTGGTTATTACGCAAATGCAAGTGGTATGTCAGAGTGTATTCCCTGTCAAAGAGGTAAGTTGCATTTATTTAAATATTTACCATCTATTTTGCCATGTATATTAAAAACCTTTTTTAAGGTAACCTGGAAATGACACGGATATTTTAATTCTATATGTTAACTGGATTTCTTAACAGGTTATAAATGTCCAATACCAGCGAATTCACCCATACCTTGTCAAGCAGGATATTATAGTGATGATTCAGCATCAAGATTGTGTACAGAGGTAAGTATTTTACCTTTCCTCAGAATTCTCACATCATAAATGAAATAATTTTCAGATATTAGTTTCACCTGGGGCGTATTTCCCCTTTTATAATTTATCAATGGTTTGTATGGGCTGTACCTTGATGGGGATACCTAATTGATTCATGAGAGCATGGCAAACTACTATATATTCGGTAGGAACTAGCAGTAAACCAGTGTGAGCTGCGTTAGTGTTCTAAACAAACAGTTGTGTAAAAAGATAAATTTAACACCAATTTTACTCTGACGAAGGATAAACGTCCRAAACATCAATAAGTTAATATTTCACATACTTTTTTACGGTGCTATTTATCTTTTTACACAACTGTTACTAAATTATTTTACATATCAATTGTCAAATGTTCTGACAATGTTGCTTTYAAGTGCAAAGAATTATCTGTAATAGCATGTATTATTATAGTTTATGTAATATTTTATTGCAGTGCCCATCAGGATATTACAACACATTACCTGCTCAAGAAAGTTGTATTCCATGCCCTGCTGGTAGTAGATGTCCCAATAGAAGCTCAAATCCTATTGCATGTACCAATGGACAGGTAGTTCACTGTTGAATAGCTTTAATTGTCTTTGGGATGTTTTTGACTGCTTCTTGTGTGTTTGTAGTACTCAGAAGAGGGTTCTACTGTTTGCCATTCCTGTCCAGCTGGCAAGATATGCTCAAATCCAAGTCAGGGGCCGATATCTTGTTCTGTAAGCGATTGAATTACATTTTATTATTCTCATCTTATGATAACAGATAACATGCTACCTTATGACAACACTGTGTGACACCTTATTACAACATGATGTGACAGCTTATTACAACATGTGACAACTTATGTGACACCTAATGACAACATTGTGTGACACCTTATGTGACACCTTATGACAACATTGTGTGACACCTTATGACAACATGATGTGACACCTTATGACAACATGATGTGACATCTTATGACAACATGATTTGACACCTTGTGACAATATAATGTGACATCTTATGACAACATGTGACACCTTATAACAACATGACGTGATGCCTTATGACAACATGATGCATTACATTACATGATACAATACCTTAAAACAACATATGATACCTGGCGGTATATGTCATCTTATGACACCAAGATATGACACCATATAATACAACATATAACACCTTACAGCAACATGTGATAATGTTTTACATGTGACTCGTTATGACTATCTACATATTTTTATTAAACATATCAGCTAGTGTTAGCATCATCTTCATTGTCATCAGAATCATTAACTTAGACTCATTGATTGAGGAAGATTTTCTATSATCAGCATCATATCTTCATAAATTGTCTTTTTCCAGTCTGGGACATACAGTAATGGAACACAATGTATCCAGTGTGAAGTTGGCCATTATTGTCCCTCGCCATCATCCTCACCTCAAACWTGTCCACCGGGTACCTACACTAATACTCCAGGGCGYACAACCTGTAYTAAGTGCCCAGCTGGGTCATCATGTTTGAATCCAGCTTTAGCTCCCGTAGCATGTGGAAATGGTGAATACAGTATTGCAGGCCAATCTGTTTGTAGTGTAAGTTTTGAATTTCCTCACWATGCAKGATTCTTTTGGTGAATTTTATTTACATTTTGTTGATTCTTATACCTAGTTCATGTCAATTTATAGTGATTTGAATATGTATCTTTTTTAATGTAGAAATGCCCAGTAGGARCATACAGTCTTGGAGGTGCATCCTATTGTCCCCAGTGCCCTCTGGGAAAAACATGCATGAATGGTTCTCAAAGCATACCCCCTCAAGATTGYCCARCAGGAACATAYAGCAATTTTGGGAAGGGCTTCTGTACAGTATGCACTCCTGGTACCTATAGCAACAAAGGAGCATTATTTTGTAGCCTTTGTCCTGCTGGGTATACATGTAATAATCCAAGCCAAAGTCCACAGCCATGTCATTCAGGACAATACTGGAACAATGGGGGAAAGGTATACCAATGTYGTAATAGTATGAAGCAGCTTGTTTAATGTTTTTAGTGATACCTAGTTATATGTGAASTAGTAAAAGTAAATAAAGGAGCGCAAATGAGAAAGGAAATGAGAATGAAATGAAGTGAGATGAAAKGAAAGGAAAGGAAATTGGCAGGAGCAATGGTTTAAAAAGAGAAACAGCTTTTGTCAACACCTATGTGAAAAAAATTAACAATGAGTTATTTATGTTATGAACACAATGCCCAACCGTCCTTCTACACCCCAGGTTGCAAATACAAAGTCAAAAGAAAAAGGAACCTATCAACATGCAAAGTGTAATTACATGTATTCAATGTTTTTCAGTTTCCACAATGCAATCCATGTCCTGCTGGGTACAAGTGTGAAAACATTACACAACCACCTGTGGCATGTCAGCCAGGATATTACTCAGAGGAAGGAAAAACATCATGYACACAGTGTGCTGCAGGACAGGCTTGTCCTGACCCAAGTAAACCTCCTGTTTCTTGTTCTGAGGGATCATATAGTCAGCATGTGAGTAGWATGATATCAATAGAAGAAAATGTCTAGCAGAAAATCAGATGGCAGGGATACTTAGAAATACATGTCAACAGACAGACAGAGTAAGACATAGAGATAAATGCCAGTAGTTATACAGAAAACAAACAAACAAGAAAATAAACAAACAAATAGCTGAACAAGATGTAATCAAGTGTATATTTAATTAACAACCCATTACAAACATGGAAAGTACCATTTATTATATAATATGTAAGAACCTGCTCAGGTTGGAAAAATCCAATTTCTWGCAGAGATRTGAACMCTCAAATTAATGATCTTTTCATTTATAACACRTTTTGCAGGGTGCAACGTTTTGTACATCATGTCCTCCAGGTTATAGTTGTCCATTGCCAGCATCAGCCATAGCACTTTGTACTGAAGGTACCTATTCCTTGGATGGAGAAGCTAACTGTACTGACTGYCCAGTTGGATACATGTGTCAGTACGCAACCCAGATGCCTGTACGCTGCTCTACTGGGACTACTACATTTGGCAAGAAAAAAGCCACTAATTGTACAACATGCCCTCCTGGCTTTGAATGCCCCAAACCTGAGTAAGTCAAATCATTGTTGATGTTTTTTTCCCACCATAAGCTCACATTTATGGTGTTAATGGTCATTGCTTACCTGCATACTCCTTGTAATTTCAGGATAGATTTTGTGAGCATACATTGACCGCAATTTTATTCTTGTATTAAGGCATACAATCATATACATGTACCTTCATGGAAAGTTAACCACATTTCCCCAYAAATGTTGTTGCATAATAAAACTGTCTGAGGAGGTTGATATCCTATTCTCTATTTTTTGTTTTTAGGATAAATGCAACAGCATGCAAACCTGGTTTTTACAGTCTTGGCAGAGCTGTTGCCTGTATTGAATGTCCTGCAGGCAGTTCCTGTCCTTCAACTATGGTGAATAGTTATGCTTTTGTTTCTAAATAATGTGTCATTATTTCATCAGTCTTATCAATCTACATACCATCAATCCATTGAGATCTATTTGTCTGTCTGTATTTCTATCAGTTTGACTGCCTGTTTGACTGTCTATTCTTCCTTCATTCACTCATTGTGGTTTTTCGATTTTTGTATGACAGGCTTTACCAAAACCATGTGTGCCTTTGTCTGTCTGTATTTCTATCAGTTTGACTGCCTGTTTGACTGTCTATTCTTCCTTCATTCACTCATTGTGGTTTTTCGATTTTTGTATGACAGGCTTTACCAAAACCATGTGTGCCTTTGTCTGTCTGTATTTCTATCAGTTTGACTGCCTGTTTGACTGTCTATTCTTCCTTCATTCACTCATTGTGGTTTTTCGATTTTTGTATGACAGGCTTTACCAAAACCATGTGTGCCTTTGTCTGTCTGTATTTCTATCAGTTTGACTGCCTGTTTGACTGTCTATTCTTCCTTCATTCACTCATTGTGGTTTTTCGATTTTTGTATGACAGGCTTTACCAAAACCATGTGTGCCTGGGGAGTATAGTGATGGTGTTTCAACAGTATGTCATAAATGTAAAGCTGGCTGGGAATGTCCATCGGTCTCATCAAGTGCCAATATTCAACAGTGTTCACCAGGTATTCCCATCAACATCAATATTAACCACTATATCAATACTCTCACAATCATCATTACTGTCAAATACCTTTCTATCTATTATGATTACCAATTGAATAGAATTTCTGCAACTGTCGATTTTTTCTTTTATTTCTGTTATAACTTTGTATTATTATTCCACACTGTCTTGTGCATTTTCTGGTATCTAATCATTGCCTTCTTTTTATCATTCCTCTTTCTTTGTACTTTATTAATAATAATAATAATAATAATAAAATTTTTATGTTTAAAATACTGTCTGATGAGTGCGTAGCACGAAACTCGGAGTTACAGCAAAATCTTGCCTCTTTGATATTATATATATGTTTAATATTTAATAAATTATATTGTGCTATTTTACATACATATATGATCAAAATGCGCATTACATATCCATTTACAAATAATAAAATTATAAATTATTTACAAATATTTAACATATATGTAAAAATAATATAATATCTAATTAAAAAATTATAAAAGTTATAAAAAAACTAAATACCTAATTATGAATCATAATATTTAGTCATAAGCTTTCATAAATAAAAAGGTTTTAAGGCATGACTTAAAGCTAGAAAAAAAACTATTGTTTCTAATATAATCAGGTAGGCTATTCCATACCTTAGGCGCTTCTACCCTCTAGGATCTATCTCCTAATGTTTTTTTTAAATTTTACACTTGGATCTAGCAAGGTGATACTGCTGTCTGATCTTAATTGATACCTACAGTTAACTCTATTAACTGTTTTTGTTTTAGGGTATTATTCCATCGAAGGTCAACAGTATTGTACTCCCTGCCCTCCTGGAAACTACTGTCCACAGTTTAATAAGTCTGAAGTGATCAACTGTCCAAGTGGAAGCTATAGTTTTGGTTCCCAAGCATCTTGTACTACTTGTCCTAAAGGGTGGATGTGTCCATCGGCAGATGGAACTGGAAATGTACGCTGTATTCCTGTAAGTATCCATTTTGTAACATTTTGTTGTTTTTATTTGCTTGGATAATTGTAATTTATTGAACTAAATTCCACTGGAGATGTAGAGATATTGAGATTTGCTTAATTATACTTTATAATATTTTTTCAGGGAAAATATTCAGTAGGAGGCCAATCAAGCTGTACCTCTTGTCCAAGGGGTGTGGCTTGCCCTCGCACTGACAGTGCTCAAAATAACACATGTTCGCCAGGGTATTATTCCATTGGAGAACAGATAGTAAGTAAAAAAAATATTTATTTTTTCATGACCTCTGAAATACTAGTAAATGATATTTTTAAACTTCAAAAAATCTAATTAGTATGTCAACATGATTTTTTTTAAATCTACTGAAAAAAAATATAGAGAGATGGTGATGACCTAAGCCATACTCCCAAACATGTAATATTTTCTGTGATTTTAAAACATATACATCAATGGTATACTGGTATTTTACATCTCATACTGTATACTAAAGTTTTGTAAATATGTTATGAAATCAGTGTRCTAAATACATTGAAATTGAATCAAATTCTGTACTTTGTTAATTGATATTTTGTTTTATAGATGTGTACACCTTGTCCGTCTGGATATGAATGCCCAAGTACAACATCAGATACTATGGTTGAGTGTACTGTTGGTTATTATAGTAAAGGCTCTCAGGCAAAGTGTACTCCATGCCTGGCAGGGTATGCATGTCCCTCAGTGAATGATAACTTTATGTTTCCATGTCCTTCTGGAACATTTACTACTGGCAACAAACCCGTAAGTCTCTGAATATCATCTCTATTTCTYAAACGTTTGCTACAACTCAGTCACTATTGACTGTTATAAGTTACAATGTATACTTTATATTTTTTTGTGTCTATTCAGGGGTGCAATATTGCATTAAAGTGAGATAAAGCTTGTAATGCACCCAAGGATATCTTACTTTTATTTCAATTCACAWTTCCAAATTRCACAAGCAACTGAGGCAYGTTCTTGCCAAAGAAGCTTCAGGAAAAACTGTTTATAATATCATTGCAGTATTAAGAACTCTGATTTGACCATTGCTTTATGTTTAAGGTGTGCCAAGAATGTCCAGCTGGCTCTTTCTGTCCAAACATCTCTGCATCACCCCAGCCATGTGAATCAGGTCACTATAGTCTTGCATCAGCTACAAAATGCACCGAATGCCCTGCTGGATACAAATGTCCTGAGAAAAATTCTAAACCTGTTCCATGTGAGGCTGGCACCTACAGTAACAAGTCSTTTACAGCCTGTTTAGCTTGTGATGCAGGGTTTGCATGCAAGGGTAGCAACACCTCACCACGCCCATTTGAAGAGCGTTGCCCTATGGGACATTACTGTACAAATGGGAAGGATATCACACCCTGTCCTGCTGGTACATATGGTAATACCACTGGTGCAACTGACCAGGCTAGTGGTTGTCCACCTTGTCCTGCTGGGTTTTTCTGTCCACCAGGAACAAGTGGTTACCCAACTAAGAGGTAAATTATTGATAGTTTTAATTTCCATTATCATATTCCATTTTCAGATTTTTGCTATGCAGTCCATGTAATTATTTTGACTTATATCTATTTGTATTTAGTCTCACTTGTCCTCCTGGCCACTTCTGCACTGAAGGAACTAAAAGAGAATTTGAACATCCTTGTCCTCTGGGGCATTATTCTCGTGAAACAGGACTAGAGAGAGAAAACCAATGTATTGAGTGTCGTTTAGGGTATTATTGCCCAGCAGGGGATGGCAAAGGTGACACACTGTGTCCACCTGGTTATTACTGTGGAATAAAGGTTGGGAATTACGAGTYAACACCATGTAGAGCTGGTACATATCAAGAACAACATGGATCTAGAAGTAAGTTGTGGATAACTTCTAAATAATGTGCAGGCCATGGCCGGGACAGTTAACTAATTTTTTCATTCAAGGATGAATATTCAGCGATACACAAAAACTGTCATTACAATTTGAAATCAGTTGTCAGTAGTTATTTGTTTCTAGAAACCTTTAATTCCACTCCAAAGAGGCTGGCTGAGCTTATCTTTCCAGGGCTCAAAAATAATGGCCAGTCAAAGGACAATGTCCTTCCAAATTCGCTAGATGACCAGYCAAATCAGGTTTTGAAAGGACAAATTCACCTCACACATTTTTAGACAAAAAAAAACAACAGCAATCAATTTCCAATTCGCTAAATAGTTTTTTTACAAGCCATTAAAATGGTTGCAGATCTTTCTGAATACAAAAACCTCTAAATTAAAAGAAAATAATAGAAGGTATAATAAAGCTTTTGTCCTTTCATAATTCGACATGACCTTCCAAATATGAATTTGGAAGGACATCTCGCCCTAGCCGTTATTTTGAGGCCTGTCTTTCCCATTGAATGTTGGCTCTTGTCTCCTCTAACCAGTCCTTATGCTTTCACTTGGTGTTTCTAAGGTATTATATTTACAATCATGTTCCTTGTATTTTATTCTATGAAATAGCTGAACTAGACTGCAAGACATGCCCAATTGGCTATTACTGTCTTCAAGCATCTGTTGTCCCTACACCTTGCCCCAAGGGTAGATTCAGCCGTAGGCAGGGTCTTGGTTCATTAAATGAATGTCAATCATGTACAGCTGGAAAGGCGTGCCCTAGGGAAGCTATGACAGATCCTCTTGAAAGGTGTGCMGCTGGTCATTTCTGCCCTGCAGGCTCTATACTGCCCAATGCTACTTCRTGCGCCTGTCCAGCAGGGTACTATACAGATTATCATAACTTGACTCATGTWCGAGAGTGTACGCTGTGTCCTGAGAGACAATCCTGTGAGGCTGGAACAGGAGGAGTTCAAAAACCACCACAGCTTTGTGCCAAAGGTTAGCAAATCAATAGCATTTTAAAATGACAAAAATGTGATTTATGATTTTAAGGTTATTATTTACCTTTATTTATAGTTCAAAATAAGTGCTTTTAATACAAGAAAGTATTGATCATGTCATTGAGAGCATTAGATGGGTTTGCATGGCTAGATTGTCTAGATTTATGTCTGTAGTCTCATCTTGAAGCTCCTTGCAATAAAGGGACATATAAAGTGCTTGGCAAGTTAAAGAATGTTGCAAGTTGTTAATGTAGCAATATTTAACAGTTTGCTGTTTTATTTTAAGGCTATTATTGTCCTCTTGGTACACAAAGCCCTACAGAACATCCCTGTCCAGCTGGTTCATGGAGTAATCTAACAAATCTTCTCTCACATAATGAATGCTATGAATGTCCCAAGGGGTGGTTTTGTCTTGCAGCAAGTCCAAAGCCATCTGGACTGTGTAAAGAAGGCCACTATTGCCCTCCAGGTAACAAATAATAACTACTGGTCGCTGATAAACTGAACATCATTCTATTGATTCATTTAGCAGAATTGACGACTAGTACTACTGGACTTTCGAACATTGTTTTCTGACTGACTGACAGAATTACTGAATATTGTTGTATTGCGTGACCATGCAATGGTTGACTGATKGATCAATTAAGTGACTGCTTGATTGCTTCTTTATTTTAGGAACTAAACGTGGMACTGAGTTTCCATGTGCTGCTGGTACCTTTTCCAATAAGACTGGAAATGTACGCTGGGAACAATGTGAGCCATGTCCCGAGGGACATTATTGCCCTCAAGGGACAGCTGTACCAAAAGAATGTCCTAAAGGAACATACAACGATGTACTCAATGCAAAGGTAGTTGTCTGGTCASAACTAGATGACTRTATGAATTTGAGCCACCCTACTTTTTAATGTCCTGCTTGACTAGTTTAATTCTTCAAAGGCTTAGATTTTRTAACTTTTGATCTTTTTAGAAATTCAGAAGTTAAATCATTTTAAATCAAAGCATTCAATTTATATTACTGTACAGTTTCATGCTTGTTTGAATTGTCTTATAGGATATTGCTGGGTGTAAGCAATGTGTTGCAGGGTACTATTGCCCTGGCACTGCAAATGTGCAACCAGTTGCATGTGGAATTGGAAATTACTCGGTAAATATATTCTAATATTTTTTTCATAAAAACCATTCATAAAATTGATAGTGTCCCATTCATCACCTATTTTTCATTTCTTGAACCACCACCAATGACCCCAATCCCCTAGTCCTACAATTATTATYATTTAGAATGCAGCTAATAATATTATTTTTCCAATAGGCTCCTGGTGCCTATGTTTGTTCCACGTGTGAACCTGGTTACTATTGTGATCAAGTGACAACAAGCCGTAGTTGTATGTTACGYGATCTGATATGTCCTGCAGGAATGCACTGTCCTGCAGGTACAARGGCTGCTCCAGATCTTGTATCTCATGCATGTCCAGCTGGCAAATACTGTCTCCGAGGAGATGAGGTAAGTGTGGTATAAACATATTGACATGAAAGAATGGGTTAAGCAATGTTAAAGTGACTAAAACTGATGAACAAATCAAAGGATAAACAAATAAAACGACAAATACTAGATGTCTTCAATAATACTTTTTTCCTATTCCCTAGAATGCCTTTCCAATCAATTGTCCTAATGGAACATTCAATCCACATACTGGGCGCAAACATGTCAGCGAATGTCAGAAATGCTGGCAAGGATATTACTGTGAACCGGAAGGACTGACAGAAGTTGTAAGTATAATCTGTGTAAGAATATAAGTCCTTTTGAATTTCTCACCAAGTTCTTTTTTATACTTTTCAGGCTGGTGAATGTCCATCTGGTCATTATTGTCCAGAGGGAACTGGCTATAGATATTCTAACCCTTGTCCAAAAGGATTCTACCGTAATGCTTCTGCCGCAATATCTGTACAGGACTGCAGTGTATGTTATTCTGGACATTACTGTGATGATCGTGGTTTATCTGTGCCAAAAATTTGTCCTGAGGTAAGTTTGATTTCAAATACAAATATTTTAGTCATTCTCTTCAAGTGCACATGACACCTTTTAGAAAAACACTTTTATCCGAAGGTAACACGCTGACAAGCATTTCTGTGGAGGAAGAAATTGATTTTGAATAGTATTTTCTGAGTTATAGACATTTGAAAATTGAAAATGCAAGTGAAGTGACATCAACTAAGGAATTGATCCAGACTTTTTACATTGTTTCTGCTATGCTTTTCTTGGTTGAAGAGCTCAAATCATTAATCATAGTAATAATTGAGAGCTGAAAATGCTTTTTCCAGTGTAACAAAAAGAATAACGTCCTCTTTTTCATTATTTTGTACTATATTAAATCATTCCTCACTTCATTTGCATTTTCTAAGTTTCAATTGCCATAACTTAGAAAATACAATTTAAAATCAATTTCTTTCTTCACAGATGTACTTAGCAGCATTTTCTCTTTTGGATGAGAATGAATTTCTAATGGCGYCATGTGCACTTTCAGGCTGAGCATTTTTAACAATGATTATGATTTTAGGGCCGTTTCTGTCCTACYGGTACAACTATACCTCAACCCTGTCCTAGTGGTTATTACAACAATGCTACAGGTGTCAAGAGAAGTGTTGATTGCACACCATGTCCAGCAGGTCGATACTGTGCAGGCTTTGGTTTGACTGCTCCAACAGGGCTGTGTGATGCAGGCTTTTATTGCAGACAAAATGCWTACACTTCAGTAAGTTGGACAATGCATTTTTATTTTATAGGGAAACAAGACCAAACWTCCAAAAATATGTGGATTTATTTGTACCTAATCAGTGTTTTTTTATGATCCTTAAACTAATCTAAAATTCTAAACATTTATTATGGCTGTGCTAATTAGTTAACTTAGTATTGGTTAAACACTGAGTATTGATACATTCCTTAACTTTATCCTTTGGCTTATTATATGTGAACTGTACATGCATAACAAAATTATTGCACTTTGCACTATTGAATAATAAATTAAAAGAGAAGTGTCATCATAGTATGTTATATTTAATGTGAGAAAAGAAAAATTGGTTCAATCAGTTTGACATGTTGTTTCATGTTGTTTTTAAGGCCCCACCACAGGGTTTGACAGGAGGAGTGTGTCCTGCTGGTGGCTATTGTCCAGAAGGTTGTAAAGTACCTTCTCCGTGTCCAGTAGGAAGTTACAGTAACACTTCAGGAGCCAAGGCRGCAGAGGACTGTATATCTTGTGATCCAGGGTAAATCAATCTTTTTTTATTGTGACCTTGTACTGAATATTGTAGAATTTTATAGTTATAAGTTGTTAGAAGACAAGCAATTTGGGGTATTTGTTGAAAAATAAATACACTATGAATTGTTAAAAAGACTGATATTTAAAACTTTTTTGTACTTCTGTCATAAGAAATAGATGTTCAGCTCAGTTCATTTTGTTAAGACTAGTGTGATGCAGTGATGAAGTGAGAGGCATGTTTTAAAGTGATATTGCATTCTATTGTTCAGCCATTATTGYGCTGGTGATACCAACCCTACTCCTACTGGGAAATGCTCTGCTGGTCACTACTGTACTGGAGGGGCTAGCACTCCAATTCAATTTGTTACTCCAAGAGGGCATTATTCCCCTGAAGGATCATCAGCTCCCATYCCTTGTCCAGTTGGGAAATATCAAGAGGTATTTAAACTGTGCATTTMGTTCCCTTTTATCTTTATCATTTTCTCTTTTATAACAAATTTTTCTTTTTTCTGTTTTTCTATTTATCTATTTTTTCAGGTTATCATTTTCTGATTCTCCAATTTCTATTTTTTTCATTTATCTGTTATCAATGCTGTCTTTCATTCGATTCATAATCTGTTATATCTTTCCAGTCTAATCGTGCAACAGAGTGCACATTATGTACAGAAGGAAGCTACTGTAATAAAAGTGGTTTGGAACAGCCTGTTGCATGTCCAAGAGGACATTATTGTCCCTCAGGATGCATAATTCCCAATCCTTGCCCMCCAGTAAGTTGTTTGATTATTGACACTAACCAATAATTATTGTTAGTATTACATGGCATATTCTATCAATTAAAGGTTCACACACATCTGTTTAAGAACAATATCATAAAAAAGTGAAATTATATTTATATATAATTTATGTCAAGAAACATTCATGAAAATAATGGACTGTTTTCACAGGGAACATTTAGTGGTAGTACAAGCAGACCAAACAATGAAACTTGCAGTAAGTGTGAAGCTGGTCATTATTGTCGTTCACAAGGGTTGCCTCAACCAGAAGGTGAATGCTATGCTGGTTATTATTGCTTAGATGGTTCTCCTACACCAACACCGGTAAGCTCTGGAAATATCCCATTAAAATGCTTTTGTCACTTGACTTACTTTTGCATATTATTAGTATATTAATATGTGGTATATTATCTGCTTTTGGATTGGACGACATTGGTTTATTAATTAAAGTACACATTATTACTTTTTCTCAAAGGGCAATGACACAGCATGTAATGTGACATATCCTTATGACTATGGAGGTGTCTGTCCACCAGGTTACTACTGTCCGAAGGGAACAAAAAATTCCATTGAAAACCCATGTGGAAATGGTACTTTCAATCCAGTATATGGTCGATCAAAGCCTACTGACTGTCTCAGCTGCTTACCAGGAAAAGTGTGCAGTGGAAAAGGTCTAAAAGAACCAACAGGAAACTGTAGTGGGGGATTCTATTGCAAAGGAGGAAGTTCCACGCCGCAGCCTACTGATGGTACTAAAGGAGATATCTGTCCAAAGGGTTTCCGATGTCCTGAAGGATCATCAACGTATTTGCCTTGTGTGGATGGCACTTATAGGTACAGTTATGGACCAGTTGTTGAAAATAGACAAGTTATTATAAATTTATGCTCCTGGCAACTGGATTGGAGTAAAATGTTGATAATCATGGTGTTTTCCGTATCTGACATTTTCTAAATCCRTTTTTACCAGCAATGTGACAGGTCTTGCAGAATGCTTGGATTGTCCTGAAAGGTACTACTGTCTAGGTGGGGAATTGCACGGTAAAACCCCAATCCCATGCAAACCTGGTCATTACTGTCCTAAGAGGACTGGCTTTTCTCTGCCAACGTGTCCTCCTGGAACATACAACCCGCAAGTAAGAACCATAGTTGTATTAATTAATTGTTATAGCTAGTCTGAGATGAACAAGTAATGTACTAACCAGCTACTGTGTGATTTAGACTGGGCTGGCAAAGGAAGATCAATGTTGGCCGTGCAAAGGTGGTAAATACTGTGCTGGACGTGGTATTGACAGTTTTCCTAGTTTACAGTCTGGAGACTGTGATGCAGGATTTTACTGTCAGTCAGGTATCAATACACCAAGGCCYAGTTCTAACTATACTGGCATTGGTGGTGTGTGCCCACCTGGTGCATATTGTCCTAAGGGCACTATTGAGCCCATTGGGTGTCCTAATGGTACATTTTCCAAYGTATCACAGTTGAAGGCTGCATCAGAGTGTACTCTATGCACAAGTGGATATTACTGTCAAGAGTCAAACCTCACTTCTCCCACAGGTAGGATATTGATACAGAAAGCAAAATAGGGCGGGTAGGGTGCAGGGGTTAGGTGGAGAGGACACAGAGGCCTTAAAATGATGCAAAAGAAAGATGAAATAAGATGAATGGATCATCCATCATCATGATGATAGAATACAGATTGAACAAATTAATGTTATGTCTTTGTAGGGAAATGCGATGCAGGCTTCTATTGCTTGAGTGGATCAAATACACCAAAACCGACCACTGAATCTAATATAGGAGGTCCCTGTAAAATTGGTCACTTCTGCCCTCAAGGAACCGCTTATCCAAAGAAGTGTMTAGCTGGGACATATAACCCTAACAAGGGTGAAGCATCGTGTTTTCAATGTATGCAGGGCTATTACTGCACAGAAGGATCAGATAAATACAGTGATAAACCCTGTCCTGAAGGACACTACTGCCCCAATGGTACACGTTTTGACACGCAATACCCTTGCCCTAAAGGGTATTTCAACAACAGAACTCATGGTACTAGCCTGGMCGACTGTTTACCATGTCCAGGTGGGAAATATTGCGGTACCAAAGGCTTGTCTAGTCCAACTGATCTTTGTGCCCCTGGATGGTTTTGTGTAMGGAAAGCATGGTCATCAACCCCTCAGGATTATGACAACTTCACATCAGGGGACTGTCTATGYCCTTCCAATTCTACTGGAGGTGAATGTCAACCTGGSTTTTTCTGTCCAAAGGGATCTCATGAGCCTACTCCATGCACTGGAGGGAACTACTGTGAAACTAAAGGATTAAGTAAAGTCACAGGGAAGTGTGATGCTGGATGGTATTGTAATCAAGGTGCTAAGGTCCGTCAACCTAGTGATGGTGTAACTGGTAATATTTGTCCACCTGGAAGATATTGTTTAAATGGTACAAAAATACCAGAACCATGTCCAAAGGGAACGTATTCCAACAATACYGGAAATAAAAAGCTTGATGATTGTATCAATTGCACAAGTGGTTCTTACTGTGAAGGAGTTGGCAACATTAAGCCAACAAACTTGTGCCATGCAGGATTCTACTGTCCAGAACGCCAACATTCTCCAGAACCATTCCAGTGTACTAAAGGACATTATTGTCCAAGGGGTAGTCCAGCACCTGTAAAATGCCCCTCTGGTACCTATCAGGATGAAGTTCAAAARGACTCTTGTAAAGAATGCCCACAAGGATACTATTGTGACAATACAAATGATTTGACTACTTACACACCATATAAATGCCCCCAAGGATATTATTGCCCCAATGGAACTAAGTTTTCTACAGAATATGGATGTCCAAACGGCACATATGGAAACAGGTCACAACTATATGATTCAAGTCAATGCATTCCATGCCCTCCTGGTAGATATTGCAAGGGTATGTTCCTATATGTGTGCATTAATGATTATTTTGTACAGCTGTCAATAGAATTGGCATCAGTTTGTTCACCAATTCTATACATTTATGTTGACAACTGTATCCATAGTCATTATCTTTATAATGTGATATTTTCCACAAAAACTATGATAATAATCCTGATTATAGTTAGGCTTTTGCAAGAGATTTCTTTTAAATTTCCCATTCTTGAATTCCTTGAAAACAGGAAGAAAGAAATCATTATTTTTTGTTTAGAAACATTTTTTATGAAATTTGATTAATTAATCGTTATAAAATTTCAGGCTCATATCATGATGTTAGTGGACTTTGTACAGCTGGTTATCATTGCATTCTTGGATCCTACACATCAACTCCAACAGACAATGTCCGTGGGCGCCTTTGTCCACAAGGACAGTTCTGTGTAGAAGGAACCAAGTCTCCAGAAAACTGCCCGAAAGGAACATTTTCCAATGCATTTAAGTTAAAGAGCTCATTGGAATGTACAAATTGCACACCAGGAATGTTTTGTAATGATTCTGGCCTTACAGAACCCAGTGGACCTTGTTATCCTAGGTATTACTGCAAAGGAAGAGCAACACATCCAGCACCAATGGATGGGATAACTGGTGGTAACTGTACACCTGGACATTATTGTCCAGGAAATACACCTGAACCTATACCTTGCAAAGTAAGACTGAAATTAACTTGCAATAAAGAACAGAATAGATAGTCATATTATAACCATCTTGCATTTCCTAGGATGGTAGTTACATGAAGGATCCCCTGGCTGATGCATGTATACCGTGTCCATCTGGTTACTTCTGTGTGAATGACAAGAGTCAAGATCCCACACCATGTCCCAAGGGTTATTACTGCCCAATGAGTACTGGATTCAACTGGAAGTCTTGTCCAAAAGGAACTTATGATGATCGTGGTAACCTTGCTAATGTTTCTTGTAAGTATATTTAAGTTTATCTTTTTTGCTGGCAAAGTCAACAAATCAGTTACATTAATAGAATATACTGTCACCAATCAACACCAATAATAGCAACAAAAACAAACAATACAATAATATGAAGAGTACCAACAGAAGCATCATATAATAACCATATCACTAGCAAAGAGTTATTATAAGTAATAGCTCCTAAAACGTGAAGTTTAGACTGAAGTATTTATATTCCCCAGCTTGTCGTCAGTGTGGTTCTGGTATGTACTGTGGGTATCCTAATGCTACATCAGAGACAGGGCCTTGTTCTCCTGGTTACTTCTGTCGACAGGGATCTGACACTCCAACCCCAGGGATTGGTGCAACAGGTGATGCTGGACCATGCCCCATGGGACATTATTGCCCAAAGCAAACTGGAGAGCCTAAAAAGTGTCCCATTGGAACATATTCCAATGTAACTCATTTGAACAATTCTAACCAATGTGAGCTCTGTGGGTATGGACACTATTGTGGWAAGCCTGGACTTGATAAGTACTCAGGGRAATGCGATGCTGGTTTCTACTGCTTGAGAGGCTCCAAGGTACCCAATCCACCAAATGTAACATCGTCAGGAGGACCTTGCCCTATTGGACACTATTGCCCTGTAGGGACATCATATCCCTTGGGATGTAAAGAAGGAACATATAATGATCAGATAGGACAGTCTGCATGCACACAATGCTGTGCAGGGTACCACTGTCCATCAAATTCAACATCATGTACACACGAGTGTCCTAAGGGTTAYTATTGTCCAAATGGTACCAAAACACCCAAGCAGTTCCCATGCCCCAAAGGAACATACAACAACCATACTGGAATGCAGGTGTCAAGGTATAAAATCTCTTAATTTTTTTTTCTATGATTTAATCATTGTCTTAACTATTGACATCGAGGTCAGTTTGCTTTTTGTAATGTGTTGAATGTTAAMAATTTATTGTTTATGCATTGCAGTTCCTGTAAACCGTGTCTCCCAGGCCAATATTGTGGTGCCCAGGGWCTTGATGTCCCATCTGGACCATGTGAAAAGGGTTACTTCTGCATACGTGGGGCTTGGTCAAGTAGACCAACAGATCTTGGTGTATATGGCTACAATAATGCAACCAATGTATCACAGTGTTTCTGTCCAAATATAACTACTGGAGGGATATGCAGCCCTGGTGAATTCTGTCCTGAGGGATCCCATGAACCCACACCCTGTACAAAAGGTAAAGTGAAATTATTAGTTGTCTTTCATAAATATTACACTAGATTTCTTTAAGTGCTACAATTCATGTTTCAGGTAACTACTGTGATATTCCTGGTCTATCTGKTCCTACTGGCCCATGTGATGAAGGCTATTTCTGTAATCTTGGTGCAAARGTTTCCAACCCACAAGATAATGTCACTGGCAACATATGTCCCCAAGGACACTTTTGTGAAAAAGGGACATATGACCCAGAACMCTGCCCAATAGGAACTTTCTCTGCATCTGAAGGAAACAAGAACAAGTCCAACTGTGAGTTGTGTACTGCAGGATATTACTGTGCCTCTAAAGGTTTGACTAAACCAACAGATGTTTGTGATGGTGGGTTTTATTGCCCATCAGGACAGTCTAACAAACGACCTTTGAAGTATAYTTGCACACCTGGACACTWTTGTCCACCTAAAAGTCCAGCACAAAAGTCATGTCCCTCAGGGACATAYCAAGAYGATTACCAAGGCAGTGTTTGTAAAGAGTGTCCTGAAGGCTATTTTTGTGATGCATCTGTGATGAATGTKAGCTACTGTGTCCATGGAGTCCAGTTACCATCACCTTGTGTTCCTGGTCATTATTGTACAAATGGGACTAAGTTTAGCACAGAACATCCTTGTCCACCAGGTAAGAAATAGGCTTGTAAATTAAATAATATGCTAAAGGAGATAATGAAGTACATAAAGGATAAAAATAAAWATAAAAATTTCCCATCAATGACTTCCTATTCRTTTCATCAAATGCTTTAACTCAACAGGGACCTATAATGACAAACCACTCAGAAAAGCAAAGTCAGAGTGCTCACCTTGTCCTCCTGGTAAATTCTGTCAAGGAAATGGAAACAAAATCTGGACTGGAGAATGTGAAGCAGGGTATATMTGTTATGGTGGATCAAATTCRTCAACACCAACAGATGGGGTTACTGGAAATGTWTGCCCTAAAGGGTCAGTATTTCAAAAAAAAATTATTCTTGATGTACAGTCAGTAAGGATGTAATAACCACCTTAATTACCCACAGGAGATATTGTCCTAAGGGAACTAATGCCACCATACCATGCGACCCAGGAACATATGGTCCCACCACACAGCTACAATCTCAGTCTCAATGTAAGGGGTGTGAGCCAGGCAAGTATTGCGACAAAGCAGGTTTGGATGCTGTGTCAGGCAACTGTTCTGCTGGATTCTACTGCCGCGGAAATGCRTCTGTCTCAAAGCCTACAGTCAGTGATACAGGTAAGATAACAAGGTGAAAGTAGTGCTAATAGACTTTGATGATTATTACCATGATCAGATTGATAGATTTAAGAGTATAATGAGTTGTACAAACAACAAAAATCATCCTTGCTTGATTTTCATCTTAAAAGGGATTTCTAATTTTGGTGTTTTAATAAGTTTGATCACACGTTTTAATTAAGATTTTTTTTTGTAATTTCAGGTGGAGAATGTTGGATTGGACATTACTGCCCAAGTGGGAGTGCAATTCCAAAACCCTGTTCACCGGGAACCTATATGAACCATACTACTGCATCKGCATGTTACAAATGTCCTGCTGGTCATTATTGTGTTAACACATTTCTTCCCATTCCTTGCCCAGCAGGTAAACAATACTAGTATTATGATACAYAATGGGCATGCTCATAGTAACATTTTATTGGGTATTATAATTGTTTATATTATGTAAGCATGAATAAGTCAAATGTGCTATTTCAAATTCTCATTTAGGCTGGTATTGTCCAGAATCTACTGGACATGACTGGCGTCCATGCCCACGAGGAACTTACAGTGCAGTTGAATACATATCAGATGTTAGCCAATGTCGACCTTGCGATGCTGGTTCCTACTGTGAYAGCATCAATGCTACTAAACCAACAGGAAAATGTGCAGATGGATATTACTGTCGTAATGGATCTGATACCCGCACCCCTTCAGGAGGACATATAGGAGATGCTGGTGTGTGTCCCTCAGGGCATTACTGCCCAGGTGGCAATCCATCWTCTCCCATAGCATGCCCTGAAGGGTACTACAACAACCAGACATTACGATCCAAATTCAATGACTGCATTGCCTGCCCTGGTGGAAAATATTGTGAGAGGCCTGGAYTGGAGTGGCCAAGTGGATACTGCAACCCAGGGTATTTTTGCATTAGGAAATCAAAGCAAAGTAACCCTGATAATACTACCTCTGAAGGTGGCCCATGTCCCCCTGGACACTACTGTCCCATGGGCTCATCCTCTCCAAGGGCATGYCAGGGAGGTCAGTATAACTCACTTTGGAAGAAGAGCCACTGCTATATGTGCCCAGAGGGACATTTCTGTCCCAATGCATCATCCAACTATACYGAATGTTATCAAGGCTATTATTGTCCTAATGGATCTGCAAGTCCAACTGCCTGTCCTAAAGGTACATACAAGAACTACACAATGGGAAAACAACTGAGTGACTGTAAAATGTGTCCTGCAGGAATGTACTGTCCTTTAAATGGTATGGACAAACCAGCAGGGTTATGTTCCCCAGGTCATTACTGTACTGGAGGATCTTGGGAAGCAAAACCATTGAATACTGAAGATATAGCCAATGGCAGTGCCGTGTGTCCTTTGATTGGTAGTATAGGTGGCTTCTGTAAGAAAGGAACATTCTGTCCAGAAGGTTCAGATGYYCCTCGGCCATGCASCCCAGGTTACTATTGTGATAAAGACTACTTGGATAAAGAGGCAGGTCCTTGTACTGCAGGGTATTACTGTAATGGTAGTACTATTCAGTCTCATCCAGTTAACCAGTCTACTGGAGATCGTTGTCCTAAAGGATTCTATTGCCCAACTGGCAGTGCTTACCCATTGCCMTGTGAAGCAGGCACTTATGCTGACAAAGAATACAATCAGTTTAAAMACAACTGCATGCCTTGTATTCCTGGGATGTATTGTCCAGGACCTGGTTTGGACTATCCCAACGGAAATTGCTCTGAAGGATTTTACTGTCCAGCTGGTCAGACACAAATCAGTCCTCCTGATAAAGAATGTCAGGCAGGCCATTTTTGTCCTGAGGGTAGTGGAATACAACATCCATGTCCAGCAGGTGAATACCAGCCCTATAAAAGACAAAGAAGCTGCCTTGAGTGTCCTGCTGGAAGTTACTGTGACCCTAATGAAGCAAGAATAAATTCTTCCAGTGGAGCTAATAKTTCATCTCATGGGTCCATTGTCCCTGTAGACTGTCCTGTTGGTTTTTACTGTCCAAGCAGAACCAGAAGTGCTATTCCATGTCCCTTGGGAACCTTTGGAAACAGAACTAAACTAGTTGCTAAAGAACAGTGTTTGAAGTGCCTTAAAGGTCAATACTGTGGAACATTGGGAAAGAAATTCGAACCCACTGCGGATTGTCATGCTGGGTACTACTGCATTGAAGGCGCCAGTGTTCCTAATCCCAATGACACCATTACTGGAGCACCATGTGAACCTGGGTTTTATTGTGTCAGTGGCTCACACAGACCTGAACCTTGCCCYAATGGTACATTTGGACCTCGGAAAATGCTCACAAAGCTYAACGAATGTGTTGATTGTTATGGTGGCCAATACTGTGCTGAAACTGGGCTATCAGCTCCAAATGGTTCTTGTTTTGCAGGATACTACTGCTCTGGTCGTGCAATCAAACCTAAYCCAGTGTCAGAGTCGTATGGAGATGTTTGTCCAACTGGTCACTACTGCCCTGCAAAAACAACTACTCCATTTAAATGTCCTCCTGGAACATTTAACAATAAAACAAGAGCAACRTTATCTACTGATTGTACACCTTGTYCMCCAGGGCAATTCTGTGAAGGATATGGTAATGACTACCCTGATGGTCMATGTGATCCTGGATGGTATTGTGCAAGAGGGTCGTACTCATCAAAACCTTTACCTGCAGGCGTTTCTTTCAATAATTCACATCTGTTTACTTGCCCTATATACTCAGTTAACTTCACTGGTGGTATTTGCCCAAAGGGTAGCTACTGTCCACGAGGCTCCTCCCAACCACTCCCATGTGATGCAGGCAAGTACTGTGCAAAGGATGAGTTGGCATTGCCCTCTGGAAATTGTACTGCAGGTTATTACTGTAAGGGTGGGGATACAGTTCCCAATCCTGTGAACTGTTCTGAAGGCCATTACTGCCCAGAAGGAACACCRATTGAAGTGGCTTGTCCTGCTGGCAGCTTTTCACCAGATACAGGAAATGCAAAGAGAGAACACTGTCAGAACTGTACTGCTGGGTACTACTGYCCTCGTCCTGGTGCTACATCAGTAGTGTTCCAGTGCATGCAAGGCTATTATTGCCCAAGTGGATCAATTCATAATGCCACTGAAATTTGTCCTAAGGGACACAAGTGCCCCACAGGTAGCCCAACCCCAGAGAAGTGTGGTGCTGGCTTCTACCAAGATGAAGTTGGCAAGTGGAGCTGCAAAGCATGTACTCCTGGCTTTTATTGTGACCCAACATCGCTTTCCACTGGAGTGATAAACCCAGTTGAGTGTTCRAAGGGAAACTACTGTCCACRTCAGACAGCCACAGAGAAACAATACCCATGCCCAGCAGGGACGTACAGTAATGAAACCGGACTGGAAACTGTTACTCAATGTCAGCCATGTCCTCCCAAGTATTTCTGTGGCTCCACAGGTCTTACTAGTCCTTCTGATCTGTGTAATAAAGGTAATAATTTGATATCATATCATACCAACATGAGTACTATGTTAAAATTGAAGATATAAATAAATTGACTTCAAGAATGTCAAGAAATCATCTCTCTGTCCTTTTAAATCTGTTTTAATTTCCGGATTCTCTTTGTTAGTCAGRTCTGGTTTCTCCAATGTTTTTGTTGTATTAAGTTAAAGAAAATACTTTTATTTAACAAGCCATTTATTGCAAATTTATAAATTAGTTCAACAAAGACATAAACATTAATTGAAAGCTACTGAATTTATTATCAAGCAAAACTATTTTCTTCTTTCAATTGTTAACAGGTTTCTTCTGCTCTTTGAATGCATCTTCTCCGACACCAAMAGATGGCTTAACTGGTGATGTCTGTCCCAAAGGGAACTATTGTCCAAAGGGGTCTTCACAGGGGACTGCCTGTCCAAAAGGTAAACAAATAAAGCATTTTATCCATTTTATCCATAAATGGTCCTGATTGTAAAATAGAATAACAAGAGGTGCTCCTTATGCACAATCAAAGAAGATTGACACAGATTGCTAGGAARAATGGACCTTCCCATGATGGAACACACAACAAGAACATATATATAGTAATTATCAATATTTTAATAAGTGTTCAATATTAATGAAGTGCTATCATGGTTTCATTTCAGGCACATTTGCTAACCGTACAGGACTAAAGAATGAATCTGAATGTTTACCTTGCTCCCCTGGTTTTTATTGCTTATCACCTACTGTGATACCTACTAARAAATGCTCTAAAGGTTACTGGTGCAAAGGTGGTTCCTATGARGGAACAGTGATAACAGCATATGTAGAACCTGCCATTGTTGTGTGTCCTAATGGCAGCTATTGCATCGAAGGTACACCACTTCCAGCTAAGTGCCCAAAGGGTACATATAATCCATACCAAGGCAAAGAGAAAGAAAACGACTGTGTGCCATGTGATGCTGGAAAGTATTGTGAAACAACTGGTTTTTGGGAGGTTACAGGTGACTGTGATCCAGGATATTACTGTACATCCAATGCAAGTCAAAGAAACCCTAGCGATGGTATTACAGGAAATGTGTGCCCAAAGGGACATTTTTGTATGAAAGGGTCAGCTAAGCCCGAGGAATGTCAAAATGGCACATATATGAACTATACAGGTATGTTTCATTTTGAATAAAAGTACTAAACTATGCTAATATGGGTAGAGTTGTAGTTATTTTGTAGTATTAGTTGCAACATTATTTAAAATAATGTTAAATACTGTCTGATGAGTGTGTAGCACGAAACTCGGAGTAACAGCAAATCTTGCCTTTTTGATATTATATATATTAGCTCTACACCATATGTGTATTGAGCACTCTTTAATGGGATCAGCTACTTCCTCATATGATAATATCAAATAATATACGATAATTGTATCAGGGTTGTATCTCTTCGATGTTGACATTAGAATGGAATTTATTTTTAAAACAATATACCAGCAGATATCCATAGTAGTTCATTTTTATCTAGGTGCATCCTCTTGTAACATATGCCCTGAAGGATACCAATGCATAAGAGGTATACTACCAGATCCATGCCCCTCTGGATATTACTGCCCAAAAGGAACAGGCTATAACATTCGGCCTTGCCCAGTGGGCACATTTGGTAATGTTACTGGTCTTAAACGAGTAGAAGATTGTTCACARTGTTCTGGTGGAAGTTATTGTGAAGTGGCAGGAAAGTCGACTGTTACTGGAAAGTGCAAAGCAGGTGAGTTTTTCTCCCCATCCCTCTGCTACCATGTTGAAGGCACAGCTTATTTATGCAGACCACAACTAAYATTCTCACAAACTAGTGCAATTAAATGCGAGAAACAACTGGAGAAAAAAAAAATAGAAAGCTAACTTTAAATCTTTAATTAAGAACTTTTTGTCCATCTTAGATCAACATTTATTAGACCTCAAAGGTGACAAACTTTTGCATTCCTTTTTTGTATTTCTTTTCTCAGGYTACTATTGTAAATCTGGAGTGAACATCAGTCAACCCGATGGAAGACATTCTGGAGATGGTGGTGAATGTCCTGCTGGCCATGAATGTCCTGAGGGAAGCATTTCTGCTTCTGCTTGTAAACCTGGTTTCTTTGCAAACAGAACCAAAATGGCAGCTTGTGAACCATGTCCTTCAGGTATTGATTGGTTTTATTTTACATTTGGGTAGGCAAACTATATTATTACAGAATAGAAGTTACTAGATAAAGTGACTTTGTCCGTGACTTCTTGAACTTTTTTGTGTAATCATGAAAGCAACCTTAGTAACAGCAGTGGTTTCATAAGCTCAGTGCACTTTCACACAAAATGAAATCTAGAAGTCAATAGTTGTAAACTAAAAGCTAGAATTACTGTAATATACTGTAATTGTAATATGACTTTGACAAATTGTTGATGCGTTTTGATAATTGTGTCCTTTTTGTAGGGTATTATTGCGTTGCCAGAACAATCACTCCATCAAGCTGTCCTGAGGGTCATTACTGTCTGCAAGGAACAAAGTTCAGCAATCAATATCCATGTAAACCAGGCACCTTTAATAATATGACCACTCAGTCATCGGAGTCATCTTGTATCTCATGTCCAGCAGGATTTTACTGTGAAGGTTTTGGTAGAACACAACCTAATGATGAGTGTGATGAAGGGTTCTATTGTTCTGGTGGGTCTTCAAGCTCTAGACCCGGTGATATTGGGGCTCCCAAGTATGACAATGCAACTAAACCATCCGATACTTGCTACAAGTTGTTTGAGTGTGTTTGTCCKGCTTTTAACAAAACAACAGGTGATGATTATACTCTGAATTCTCCTCTTTTTTGATAGAATAACTAATTTTAATATTTAATCAACAAGGTGACATCTGTCCTGCTGGTCATTACTGTCCAAGGGGTTCCAAGCGTCCAATTCAGTGTACTGTAGGTCATTACTGCAAACACGCAGGTCTATCAACACCAACAGATAAATGCAATGAAGGTTTCTACTGTAATGACAGCTCAACGGTACCAGACCAATACAAGTGCTTACCAGGACACTACTGTCCAAGAGGRACTGGCATCCCTCGTGCCTGTCCAGCTGGTACCTTTTCTAGAACATCTGGTAATGTAAAACTTGGTGACTGTAACAACTGCACAGCAGGGAAATACTGCGCTGGTCCTGGTTTAAGTAGTCCTACAGATGACTGTGATGCTATGTACTACTGCCCGGGCGGCCAAGACACTGCTACACCTATTGAGTATAAGTGCACAGAAGGTCACTATTGTCCTAAAGGTAGTCCTTCTCCAAAACGATGCGCAAGTGGATCCTTCCAGAATGAAAAGCAACAAAGTAGTTGTAAGCCATGCCCAGAAGGTTATTACTGCAATACGACGTTGTCTGCCGTTATTGAGCCTGTTGTTTGTCCGCCAGGACACTATTGCCCCGTTGCAACTGGAAATTACAGAGACTATCCTTGTCCAAAACGTGAGTCTACCACATAATGGTATAAAACATTCTTATCAGCTATTATCCATTAGGTCAATTAAGTTACGTAACATTTAATCAGTTATTGTTGTTGTTTGGTATGGCTTTTGATGTGTTTCAGTCTATCACGTTAGACTGGTTGTAGATTCGGCTGCTTTATCATTGCTTTGTTTTTGTTGTTGTATTTTTTAATGTTAATATTAACTTMAGGCAGTTAATAAAAGAGTTATTGATCTGTCTATCTATTAGTCAAATACTTCCTCAACGTGTACACATGATCAAAATTGTGAATGTTATATAGTTACAATAGATAATTGGTATCATTCATTGTTTCAGGTACATTCAGCGCTAAAAAGGGTCTAACACATGCTGATAACTGCACACTTTGTACCGAGGGCTCATACTGTGCAACAAACGGACTAGATTCTCCCAGTGGACAATGCTGGGGTGGACATTATTGCACACAGGGTGCTCTTATTCCTAACCCTGAGAATGACAGACGGGCTAGAGACTATCCAGAGTACAAAGACTTTATATTTGATTATCTTAATGATGCATGTCCACCAGGTTATTATTGTAACAATGGCAGCAAGCCTATCCCATGTCCTCCCGGATACTATCATAACACAGGTCGCATTTCATCAAAATCGCAATGTTTAGCTTGCCCTATTGGAAAATACTGTCCTAATACTACAATATCTGGTGGAGTGGCACCAGACTGTGATGCAGGGTATGTGTGTACTGGAGGGTCAAGTGTGAAAAAACCTAATAATCCCTCAATGGGATACCTGTGCCCTACAGGGTTTTATTGCCCTGCTGGTACTAATGCACCAAGAAGCTGTTTACCAGGAACTTATCAGCCAAATACTGGACAAGAAAAGTGTTTGGCTTGTAGCCCTGGTAACATGTGTCCTTACCAAAACATGACCAAAGTAGTTCCTTGTATGGCTGGTTATTATTGTCCAAATGGTACATTGGTACCTTGTCCTAAAGGTACTTATGGTAATAACACAGGCTTTGATAATGTCGATATGTGTACTGACTGCCCTCCTGGAAAGTACTGCTCTGAGGAAGGCGGTACCAAGCCTAAAGATATCTGTGCAAAAGGTTTCTATTGCCAGGGTGCAGCCAAGAAAGCGACTCCATCTCCTACATCCAAGTACCAAAGAAATGGCCCATGTCCCAAAGGTCATTATTGTGTTGCAGGCACCCCTTCACCTCAAAAGTGTCCTCCTGGCACATTCCGTAACAGTACTGGTGCTGAATCAGTGGACCAATGTCTGGACTGTACACCTGGATGGTATTGTAGTGGTTATGGTAATGAAAAACCAACAGCTTTATGTGCTCCTGGATATTATTGTCCTCAATCATCACGTGCTAATGTGTCAACACCAATTGGTTATGTTTGTCCGAAAGAACATAAATGTCCTAAGGGTTCACCTAATTAYATTAAATGCGAGCCAGGTATGAACACATAATGGTTATCATAACAATATATTATCATTTTATAAATTCTATCAAMGCGCTTAGAGATAGATGAAGGGAATTTCTTCTTCCTTTATTGCAGGTTCTAATCAACCTAGGGAAGGTATGGCAACATGTACTCCCTGCAAAGCTGGATATTACTGTACTCCAAACCCAACGGATTGCCCAGCGTTCAACTAYTGCCCTGCCGGTGTGACTACTCCAATCCCTTGTCCCAATGGAACCTTTACATATGAAAATTTGACAAGATTAGCSAACGCCTCACAATGTTTACCATGCATCAGRGGACACTACTGTCGTCTGGGTCAAATCATTGGTACTTGTGCAGGAGGGTACTTCTGTAAGAGTGGTAGTCCAGATCCAAACCCAAATGGGCATGTTTCTCCTGTGGTAGCAGGGCCTTGTCCCATGGGTTWTTTCTGTCCTAATGGTACCTTAGCACCTGTCCCCTGTCCTGACAGAACAATGAAAAATTACACGGGAGGTGCGGGGACAGTTAACGACTGTACTACATGTCCTGCTGGAAGACACTGTATAAATGGTAAGTTAATGACCTAATCACCCACTAATAATAAAACAATTAGGATTATTCAGGTGTACTCGAATCGCTGTAGCTAATAAAATATTATTTCATGAAGAAAAGGCTAGCTTGACTAAATGAGTTTTTCGATTTGCTACCAGTAGTTAATTCAGTGTTGACATACCTAGGGCTTCCTTACTCAATTTGACTGTCTTCATCAAGATTGTTAATTTATGAATCAGTGTTGACATACCTAGGGCTTCCTTACTCAATTTGACTGTCTTCATCAAGATTGTTMAGTATATTTCTCTAACGTACAACATTGCAACCACAGGATCAGAATATGGTGTTCCATGTCCACCTGGACATTACTGCGAGACAGGTAGTGACCCGACAAAATGTCCTCTCCTACGATACCGTGATAAGTCTGGTGGTAAAAATCTAGGTGACTGCTTTGAATGTCCAGCCGGGTATTGGTGCAATGTGACTGGCATGAATAACTATAGCAACAGCGAGTGCCCTCTTGGACACTACTGCCTCCAGGCACAGAAACCAACCTTATGCCCTGCAGGACGCCGTCGTGAAATCACCGGCGCTAAAAATGTTACCGATTGYGGTCCATGCCCCGGTGGAYACTACTGTCCGRAGAATATGACAAATATCTATGGTATTCCATGTCGTGCTAAGTACTACTGCAAGGAAGGGTCAGCCTATGAAGTGCTGTGTCCAGCCGGAAGGTTCTGTAATTATACAACGGCAGAACCCTACTTGTGTCCAGGTAAGGCCAAAGTATTTTAGCACTCCTTTTCGAAAGTTATCATAATTTTAGATAAATGCAGAATACCCCTTAAATAACTCAACTCATGGGATAGCGTCTAAACATATTTTTATGAATGCCTGGGTTATTATAGAAAGGTTTTTGAAGGTATCCCATAATTTCTAAGCAATTAATGGTATTTTTGATATTCTCATAATTTTTAAAGAGGTGTAGATAGATAAAGTCCAGCAATTTTGTGTTGTTTATATATTATATATATAATTGTTCAGTTCAGTTAGGATTTTTATCGTGATCATAAGTATTGATAATAATACTCTTGTTTTAGGAGGATATTACTGCCCAAATGGCTCAGAAACGTACACGGAATGTGAATAYCCATATTATTGTCCTCCCGGCTCGGGATCACCAAAGTTATGCGATCTAGGTCACTCATCTCGTACGACGCCAAAACCTCGAATACTACACAAAGATAATTGTAAAATTTGCCGGCCAGGAACKTATGGCAACGATAAGCTTCGACTTAACTGTTCAATTTGCCCTGCTGGGTACTTCTGCCCAGAAGGGACGATTGGACCCTTTGAAAACCGTTGCATCGAGGGATACTACTGTCCAGAGAAGAGCAGTAGTATGTTTCCTTGCCCTGCTGGTTCCTATGGCAACCGTTCCCTAGCAACAGACGCAGCAGACTGCTACAAGTGCCCTGTCAACACTTATAGCAATGTTGCGGGCAGCACAGCGTGTCGTCCGTGCGGTAGTAGTGCTACGGCWGTGGAGGGCAAAAATGAATGCACGTGTATTGGGAAATTCCGCTCGTTCCAGATATCAGATGGTTCTTGCACATGTTTGGCAGGCTATGTTTTCTATGACGAGACTGATAAAAAGGAAGAAGAGGGTAACAGCGACAAAAGTTGTCAACCAGAGGTGAGCCTCATATTTCACCTTATTCTTGATTTTCAGTCACACGACCAATATGGAACAATAGAACACACAGCAATGACAATAATTSTTCGATTTCAATATTCACAGCGGGCATRTGAAGTCATTAGTAGCTATTGTTCATTCCTCCAACATGGCCGTCGTTTTTTRTCTTTTTTAATTTCATGGGAATGATTGAACAATCAGTAGCACCTTATCAWAAATCTTTTTTATACACATTTTGGCATCATGTGGAAAAGAGAATAYGACAAAGAATCAGCTAATCTATTTATAGTATCAAAACCGTGAAATAAATCTAATAATAACAATAGCCCAATGAAAGAAAACATTGTACTTAGTTACTACCCAGGTACATTAGTCTAATATATATTTCACTAGTTTACGAAACCACTCCATTGTATAATTTATGGTTGTCATAACAACTAATAGTATTTATTGTTATATTGTAGGTTGACACACGATGTGGCAATAATCAATACCGTGATTCGTCGACCAGACAATGTTCCGATCTGGAGACTCTAAATAAGAAATGCAAAGTCCTGTGTGGTGATGATAGTGGTTCATTTAGTACAGACTACGGTAATTGCTTGTGYCCATATTCAACCATTGAGTGCAACGCAGAATGTGAAAAAAATAGACCTAAGTTCTGCTGCAAGCGAGACACACAAGGAAATTTCCAAGTTGTTACAACAAGTCCAACCACATCTGAAACACAGACTTTCACTCAAGAGGTTGGGCTTAACTCATATGACACAAATTGTCACTCCTGTGAGATTTTGGCATATGATGGGAATAGCATAACGGGGTACAAACCTACGACTGACGATGAAGCAAAAACGGTGTTCAGTACAGATACGCCCTCTAACCCAGCAAGGCGTAAACGAAGAGCAGTATCCGTACCAAATAACTCGACAAATAAYTCAAGCAAAGAAATCAAGTCACCTACTTATTGTCTAGAGCACGGTAATGCRATGATGTTTAAGCTTACAATTAATGAGCAAAACAGAACGCTTAGTAATTATCCAAGGTATCGCAAGAATCATCTGTTTAACACCAACCCGTCGTTTGATTATGGYAACTTTCGACAGCTTCATTCTATCATCACCGAGACAAACAAGACATTAAAATTCTTTGTTCACGTTTTTAATGAACAAGGAACTGTTGTCTTCTACGATAACGCGGTTCCTTCACGAGAAACGATAGTCAAGGTYATGAAGCAAGGCGAAAAGTGTCCTGATGGTCAAACCATCTTCCCTACTAATAGCMTCGTTCTCAGCAAGCTTGGAATCAAAAAAACAAGTGTAAGTCAAAGTTATGGGATTTTTTAAAACTAGTTTTTAACTCTATACACCACATTGATAATAAATAGCCAGTAATACATCCAAATAAAGGCGATTAGTGAATAAATCAATGTCTATAATACTKATGAWGACGACGATGATGATGATATTGATAATAATCATTTCTATGTCTTCAGCCCARSAATTTGGCGCCCAATGAGGGTGTGATATACGGTATGACCGCYTTTATGCTTATCTGCGTTGTAATGCTGGTGATCGCTATCTTCATATGGAGACCACGAAGCTTTGGTAGATATCCCATCGCTTCTTTAAGGCCTAAATACAAAGCCCTTGGGGCACCAGTACCTGTAGTACCAATACCAGGAATAGATGACAGTCTTGAGCTTCTAGGTCCAAGAGGAGTAGCCGAGGGAGCACCGTCATACGAAAGCCACAACGTTAAGTTTGATCTCGAGAATTTCAATGTCAGGACACTTTATGACAAACTTGAAGATCAAACGTTACATATGAGCTCACAATTATCTCGGCATCAGGCAGATTTGAAAGGTTTCTTTGATAGAATCATGGGGCAGACGGAGAAGCTTCGAGATATGCTTGACAACCTGGACGTATCGGCACTTATAAAGGTAAGCTTTCAGGTGAAAATACCTATAAGAAATAGAGTTAACTTTTTTGTAGGCCTACAGCCTAGATATTTTTTATCTTGATGATTTCCCTTATGACTGYCTTAATGAAATAACGTTTTCATGCTTCAAATTCTTAATTTCTTTTAGGCAACTCGTGACCAGGCCCAATCAGGTGGTGGTGAGCAAGGTAGTCATGGTGAGGAAGAGGAAAGTCGTCAGCAAACAGCTGCATCGAAGTCTACTTTCAAAGGAATGACCGCTGGTTCACAAGTTCGTGAACACGAATTAATGGCAAGCTTACAGAACCTTCTTGAACAAGTCGAGAAAGGGAACTATGGTAAATCAATATATTTTAAATTCTCTCTTAAAACGGTTTTTAATTKGCWTTATTRAGAGGGAGCACAACAGAAGGGGTAGGACTGACGAAAGATGAAAGAAGAAATTTCTTCAAACATTGTATAGATTCATTAATTGGCTTTTGCTTTAGACTGAGTAATAAAGAGAAGTGCGATTGGTTCAGAAACTAATTGTGCAATTTKTTTCTCCTCAAATCCAGGACGACCTTACACAGTCGTCATGCCAGGCGCASGGGGTGGTGGTATGGAATCTGGTGTTGTTCATCCKGTGCCAGAGGGACACGTTGTTACAGTACCATTACAATCCAGCGACTCCCCCGTCGTTCATTGGCAGATCCATGGCACCAGTGACGTCAGTGATTTCTTACGAACAATGAACAAGGAACGAATGCACTTAGAGCAGGAACTGGGACGAGAGGARGAGACCGCTGTCCACAGTCTCATAAAGGAACAGGTAGGACACCAATGTATGGTGCGCGCTGTAACAAAGTTTATATTTTTTACAATGATCGGTATACTGAGCTATTTAAAAGAATTGTTCGAAAAATAAAAGAAGGATTCGTATATGTGGACATCTAAAACATGCAAACAGAGCCCACCCATAGTTAATATTAACTATAGTCCACCCAAAGAGTACAGTTATTAAAATCTCTTTAGTAAGTTGTATGCATCAGTGCTAATTTTCTCAGTTTAAGGCGGCCAACGTTATATGTAACCTTAACTCAAGCTATTAGTGATTCTGATTCTCGTCTACAGGAGGAAAAGAGAGCAAGAGGCATGAAAGAACTCGCTGAAAAACTTGCCAACAGGCTAACAGGAGACTTGAGTGAGGACGAAATGAAAGCCATTATGGAAGACCATGAACGAGAAGTAGCCAATCTTGAAAACGCTTTGGACTCTGAAAAAGAAAGACAACTGGCTAGTCTTCGTGATAAATTAAGAAAGCGACGAGAAGAAAAAGAGGCTGCTTTGTTAAAGAAGCAAAAAGACGAGGTAAAGTTTCCTAAATTGTATGATGCATACCAACYAGGTTATTTGTAGAAAGTGAGTGGTCCGTTAAAAATAGTACTGTTTGTTCATATACGTTTATTTTACAAAGGCTGAAAGGTCCAAAATCAAGTTTGACGATGTAGAAGCCAAAGCTGATGCCGAGACTTTAATCAGAACACAAGAATCAATTCAAGATGCAATTATCCAGGAGCAAATCACTGGACAGGCAATATCAGARAAACAGACCTCTGATCAGGAAGTTGAATCATACCGTAGGAGAATGGGAGACATGTTCTGTGCTACTGTGGTGAGTTTCGCCGTCTACCATTTCGTAAWCGGGCTTCCTGTGTCCTCCCCGAAACTGGGCACACAAATAACAAAAACACCAAAAATCTGTATTTCTTCCGTTCACTGTAGAAAAAGAAAACTTATAAGAATCTAACTTTTATTTTTAAGGATGACCTAGTTGCTTCAGGCTCTCTCGACCCTGACAAGGCAGAGCAAYTGAAGAAAGAACAAATGGATGTTGAGGAGAAGCTGTCACGTGATCTTGCACAGAAAAAAGCACTACAAGTATCTCTTTTAAAGGCAAAATTCGCCAGCAGGAAGAAAGATAAATTGAAAAAACTGAGAGAAAAACAAGAAGCTGAAAAAGCAAAGGTATTGCACATGATTATGACTTTATTTGTCGTTCTCCTTGCGAAATGATAAAACTATATGGCGGACTGATTACTAAAACCATGGCCAAAGCATTCACGTYAAATTTAATATTTTCATTGATCTTCAGGCGATAAGCGAAGGAGCAGACCTTGAAGAACTAGCCAAGAAACACGAAGCCGAGCGAAGAGCTTTAGATTCACGATTTGAAAGCGAAGAAGCTCGTCAGCTTGGTGAAATGGCCATAAAGTTAAACGAAGAACACAAAGAACATGTCAAACAAGCTCACAAGGAATTACTAGAAAAGGTACAACATGCGAATTACTCCATCTTTATTTAACAAAGTAGATGACTTATCTATCCTTCCCACTTCTGACAATAAACTCCATCTAGCTGTAGTAAAGTAATCTCCCAAGGACTTTTCCGTTTTTTTTGTTTTTTTTTTTTTGTTTTTTTGTTTTTGAAATTGAAGCAGGCTTTACTGATGAAGTAACTCCTCTTTATTGATATTTATTAGTTCATAAAGCACGTAGAATGTTGTTTTAAGCTCTTATCATCTTTGTTTGTTTACAGTTAACAGGTGACAATAACCTTGACGCCGTGCTACAACAGCAAATCATGGAYCAGTTCCGTAAAGATAACGAAGCTTTGCTTGATCAACTTGAGAAAAGTAAATTCAAGAGCCTGGATGACACCAAGGTTGGTGATGTTGAATTGCCATTTAGTATTGAGTGTTTTTATTGATTGGTTTGTTTGTTCATGTTACTGTAGCGTTTCGACTGTCTGTCTTTCAATTTAGTGACTGTTTTTGTATTGTCATGTGATGGTACTAAGCCATTTTTGTCATGCAGGCTAAGTTGGCGTCACGTCTAGCCCGAAGACAAGAAGAGGCACGGCGCAAGGCCGAAGAAGAATCAGCCAAACGTATATTGGAGGARCAAAGTAAAGCTCTGGCTGCTAACAAACCGGTAGACGCTGAACATGTAGCGGTACCCGAGGTAATAATGCCAAGAGAAACTACCGAAGAACAGGTAAGGAAGAGTTGCTTTACTGTAATCTAACTTTTACCAAAGTTAACTATTAACTATTATTATTACTATTAACTATTAACTATGCTTTTACGCTTTGCTGCCTTGTTTTGTTTTGCTACTTTTTACCGGATTTTTGTTTGTTTTCATTATATCCTCCCTCAATTAAATATTTGCTTTAGTTTTTGTTTTACTTATCCTAGTGAATATTTTTCTCCTTCTAAAGGCCATTAAGAAAGAACAGCAACGGGTTCTTGACGACATGAAGCTACGCCATGAAGAAGAGGCTCAAAATATGAAGGACAAACTCGGCAAAGATTTGAAGAAAGACGAAGATGCTGCGATGAATGAATTCGACGCAGAAACAGAACGACACATGAGAGAAATCAAAGAGAGGCATGCTGCAGAGATTTCTGCTCGCAGTGACGCTATGTCACCTGAGGAACTACAACAGGTACGGCGTTTCCTATTATTCCACCTCTTTCTTTCTTTTCTTCCTTTCTTTTGTCTTTGCTTCATATCGCCTTAACTTCTCTCTATCATGATTTCAAATTTTTCTTCCATTTSTCTYCCTTTTATTCCATCTCTTTCTTTTTTTTCTTCCTTTCTTTTCTCTTTGCTTCATATCCCCTTAACCTTTCTCTATCATGATTTCAAATTTTTCTTCCATTTSTCTYCCTTTTATTCCTATTCTTTCTCAAGTCTTATCACGAAATACTGTTTTTCACYTATTAGTTGCTTGCTGCTCACCAACATGAAGTCGAGGAAGCACTTGAGAAACTCGATGCCGATCGAAGTCGACAGAATTCTAACCTGCGCGCCAAATTAGCCGAAAAGAAAAAGAAGAAGATGGAAGCTCTTCGACGTAAGCAGGAACGTGAAATGGCAAAGGAACTAATGGAACAGAAAAAAGAATTGACTGATGCTAGAAATGATCAGGTAAGCATGGAACGAAACGTCCAAACAACAGGAGTTGAGGAGTTGTTTTCGTAATGTTATTGCAAACTTCTTTCTCCCAATGACGACGCGAGCTGAGTAGCCGTAGTTTGGAAAGACTTCCAAAAAAATGATGTTTATGATTTCTGTATGCTTTATAGGTTAAGGAAGCAGAAAAGCAGGCAATGATTGAAGGAATTCGTGAAAACGGTRCCGAAGCAGCTGAATTTGTTATCAGAAAGGTCAGTTTTGTCCTAGTGATACATAATGGTTAAAGATGTGGAATGAGCAGATGGCTTTATGCTTTATTGTAGGTTTTGGAGAAGAGACAAGARCAGGAACTCAAAGATTTGGAAAACATGTTCATGGAAGAACGTAGAGTAGCTGTTGATGAAGCGATGGCAAAAATGGAAGAGAGACATGCTCAAGAACAAGAAGAACTTCGTCTCAAAGACCAAGCAGAACTTGAAGCTTTGAATAARGAGAAATTGAGCCCAAGCGAGCTTCAGCAGAAACGTGCACARCTATTCAATAATCAACAGTTAAGACAAAGTAGACTTGACAAGAAACACGCTGACGAACGGAAAAAGATCCAACAAGGCGCTGTGGCTGACTGGGAAGTTAGATTTGCGAGAGCTAAATTAGAGTTGAAAGAAAAACACTACACGGTAAGGAAAAGAACTCTTTGTGTTCTTGTTTTTATCGTTTATCTAGTTGGTCTGACCAATGCATCTTGTTTACAGGAATATGCCGACTGCTTGAACCAACTGACACCKGAACAAGCAGAAGAYCATCGCAAGTCTGTAGAAAAAGCAATGGCGGCCGCTAGGGAACTMGAGGAAGTCAAGAAAAAACTTGATGAACAAAGGATTGAGAATGAAGAGAAAATYAGGAAAGAAAATGAAGGTATTATCATTTGCTATACTCAGAATMCATTATTATATTAGTCAGTGACAATGTCAGATATACGTATGACAAAGAGTTGGATGTTATAGTAATCCTTCTCATGTTTTTGGTAGATTTTGAACGAGAACAACGCGATAGGATGGATGCTGAACTGGAAGCTTTTGAAAACCAACTTGARGAAGAAGAAGAAGAGGAAAAGAAAAAGAACGAGAAAGCAATTCTTGCTTTGAACGCTCGTAAAGAGGCCCTCCTTAAAGAAAAGAAAGCAAAGGCCAAGCAAGAAATGGAGAGACTCTCCAAACAAGGCGCTTCCAAAGAAGACCAAGAGGCGGTCTTGAAGGAACACAGCAAAGATCTTGCTAAACTAATGAACAAAATGGACGCGGATAGAATGAGAATGCAGAGCTCGCTTGAAGAAAGACTAAAGAAGAAACGCGAGGCAAAGAAAAGTGCTAAAGTGCARGAGCTAACCAATAAGATGGACGATGAAAAGATTGAATATGAAGAGAAACAACAAGCAGTTCAAGAGAGAGAACAAGTGAGTGTTGTCGTTTGTTATTATGTCCATRCTCTTTAACATCTGTTTTGTTTGTTTGTTTCTAATTTCATATTTTTTGTGTGATTTTTCCATTTCCTGGTCTGTTTATTGTATGCATCGATTATCTCTCTCACTTTGTTTCTAGTTATTAAATACATTTAATTGTTCATTCAACCCAGGCTAAAGAAGTCATAGCACTCAAGGAAAGCATCCAAGTAGACAATCTTGTATCAGACACTATCAAATCTGACGCCCCAGCCCCTCCTCCTCCAAAACCAACCGAAATGCCAAGTAGCTACCAGCTTATAGCACCATTGAGTGAAGGCGAGTTGACTAGTATGCTGATGGCTTCACCACTCTACCAGAAACTCGAGTCCATCAAATCGTTACTCAAAGGAGGCGCAGGAAAGGGAGGTGGYGGACCGGCAGGATCATCAGGTAATTGACGGCGTTGRTGATGAGGGAATCATAAGAGATTTAAAGACGTATCATAATACAGTAAAGTCAACCTAACTACAAATTATTAACATTTTCCTCCGYTCTCATTGGAGTCTAGACCACGTGACGCGAAAKTGCCCSAAACRTCCAGACAACTTTTCTATTGTTTAAATARTGATATTATTGTTTTCRYMTTCTCCATTGTGTATTTCAAACAATGAGATATCCCCCTTTATGTTTTCAGGAGAAAGCTACATTGATATCAAAGACGACACATTGTTCGGTGGTGACGACGAGCTTGTACCTGTTGACCTGAACACTCTTCCTGGTCGATCATTTGTCGTCTACAAATTCGGCTGCTTYGTTGCTGATCTTCTTGCTGTCCATTGYCATCATATTCCTGTTACTCTTCTGCTTGCCACAAAGCTTCCTCCAAATACATATCTTGAGAGAAACGCTTACCGGAACTCATTCTTYTACGATGCCAACAACCGCATCTTGTACATCAGAAATGAGCGAATGGAYAACGTGGGCGAGTTTGTGGTTGTGATTGTTCACTGCTTGGCGCATATCGCTGCTGGTGACTTAAGGGACGATTCTAATCCTGTGTTCTTAAAGGAATTCCATCATGGACTGGCCGTCATKTGTGATGACCTGTTCTTCTCTCGCTATAGAAGATCGTCTGCTTTGTCACAAACTCTTGCTTCATTGCCTGACAGTATCAAGGTTGAAGAAGCAAGTCGAGAGCTGCTCGAGTCAGTCTTTGGAGACTCTCATACCGAGGCTGACAAGTCCAACATCGTTGAAGAGCTTCTCGACCTTCGTCTCCTTCGTGGAGCGAATCGTGAAGGTGTGCACTTTACACAGGAAGGTTTGATAGAAAGACTCACCAAATATAGCAGCTTCTCTCTCAGCTCAAACCTTCGCGCCTACCTCGGCGACGTTGATGTGAAAGCKGACAGCGCGAGACTACAAGGCTCTGATGAATATATGCAAAAACGGCTGCGTCAACTCACTGGTCARCAAGAGAGACCTGTGTCACGCTACGCTCAGGCATCTGGGGATTTGACGACAAGAGCAATGTCACGCCAAGCAGCACGAACAATGGCTGTGTCACGATCAGCTACTAGTCTACCTTTGTCAGGAAAGTCCCAATCAAAACAGAAAGATAAGACGAAAGACGAAGACTTATACAAAGTATACTTAGAGGTATAGTATATAAAAATCAAGGTACGCAACAAAAATGTTATTTTACTAAGTGCTTTTGATTGATTCCACATTAGGTCCAAGTCTCAGAAGTACAAGACAAGGTTGACAATCTGAACGAAGAGTTTGCCAGGCTATCCCGACAGTCACTGGAAGCCGATAACAGCATCCGCGAACTTGAACAGGAATTAATGGCGCAAATGGATCTTCTGAAAGACTCCCCTGACCATTCACAAAACAAACACTTGATTCGAGAAACTGCAAGTAAACTCACCGCCGCCAAGTCAAACCGCGACTCGCTGGCTCTGCAGAAAAGCAACTGCTTACAGAGGTTTCAGTTGTTTAAGAAACAGTTGGAGGAAAAGACCAGTCAGTTGGACCTACACAAAACAAAACCTGAAAACGAACGCCAGCAACAAACTGAAAAGAAGCTACAGGCTTTGACCAAAGGACAGAAAAAACGCGGCAAGAAATAAAGCATTGTAAATAATGACGAAAATAATCACATTTAGGATAGCAAGAAAGTGAACAAATCTGTAATATAATTCYCGGTTCATAAGAATATGAAAACCGGTGTCGTTATCTCAGTTATTAGTCGTACATAGTACAATATGAAGCCATTTCATCTAAAAAAAAAAACAATATTAATTCTGAGTGGCACATAATTTAATAGTTGATTTATTTATTTGTCACAATGTGAGCTATGATTGAAGATAGGAAATCAGTAGTATTTTTATATTCACTAGGGTATTTTTATACAGATATTTAAAAATCAATTCAATAATTTACCACAATAAATAGGTATTAATAGTCGTTATCAATCGTACACACCCATCATACTGTATTGCCCATACTACAAGCTGTACAATTTTAAATAAACACTTTTAAAATATTACTATATTGGTTCAAAATCTAGTTAACGTAATTTTCAAAATGAAGRGAGTCTTTCTCAGTTTACTCCCAGGGTTGCAAAAATCCCATATTTGTAGAATTTGGCTCTTATCGTGCGCTAAGGTGTCGAATGAACCTATAATAGATCGTGACATCTACGTAGCCAGAGAGTTTCACGCTCTTATAACATTTTTTTTTGAACGGGAGGGAGAAATGGGTACCAAAGCACAGAAAACTGACGTAACTCCCAAATCATTTAATCAAAAGTCCAAACAATGCGCGAACCGCACTTATCCGCTAAACCAGCAAACCGTGCTTATTGATACACAAGAACGTTTTCGCAAGTCAATGTCGTTTATGACGATTTTTAGTTACTATATTACTTTGTTAGACAACGCTTATGTTATAAGCAAAATGTTTAAATATCCACGCCTTTAAATCGTAAGCTGACTTCAAGCGGTGTGAGAACCTGATTCCTTTTAGTAGACGTCGTGTCACTCTCAGATTCAAACATTTCATAATATTACTTTAAAGTTTCACAAAAAATCGAGCTCTTAACGGGTTTTTATGAAACTGCCAAAAAATGTTTGTTTGTTTTTTCATGYAGTCTTCCCAAGTTGGGAAAAGTAGAATTCATTTGCTTTTTAAACTGGATTAACTCTGTGTATTTCCACGTTCTTTTTTCGTTATACAGACTTGAATATAGTCTTTATTGTGTCTTCATTGACCAACTGGAACGAAGTCTTTTCCTTGGAGAACATATACATTTCTCCRTTTGCTATGTCGAACCAAAGCGCATGAAGATTCAATTGTCTGTTTCTCAGTTGCTCTCGAACAAAGCTATACGAACCAATGTTGTGAAGCTGCTGCAATACATTGACCTGAAAACAATAACAAAAATGATCAGGAATGTAAACTTGCACTTGTTAAATTTAAGAAAATTCAGCAGAAATCGTCAASTGTGGTATACCTGTGAAAGCTTGTCCTGAATGGGAAGTTTCTCATCGATGACAGCTTCAAATTTTTCACTTTCAATCTCATCATTGAAAACCACTTTGTTGTCATYCACAACAAGTCTGTCTAGTTTGGTTAAAGATGACTTGCCATGAGTTGTTATCCAACTTGCAATCATGGAACTGTTGTCAGTGCTGGAGGAGCTTGCAGTATCATACAAAGCATGCATTGCCTGACGAATAATGACAGACATTAGAGACCAGTAAAACAAAAAATATCATTCATTATAATACATGTAAAATTGATTACAAGTCACATAGAACTGAAATATATAAATCATTTTAATCCTGGCCCTATCATCAGTACAGGTTTGGTGGTTTGGAAATTGTTCCACCCAGTCCCTTTTAAAGCATAGTACACAGGAGTACCATGTACAGAATTTATATTTGAGATACACTGATCTAAGCACAATACCTTGCAATCTGAATGGCCACATACAGCAACATGCTTGATGCCATAGTTAATGACAGCTAATTCTAAAGCAGCTGGTTCGGCAGATGAAGCAACTTGTGARCCAAACAACCTTGCATGTGGAAAAAGATTTCCTACATTGCGTACAACAAACATCTGTCCAGGAACTGCTGACATGTAAGTACCCGGCAGAAGACGACTATCAACACATGTGATCATAAGCATGTCTGGCTGTCAATCAAAGTAATGATAAYATCAAAGTGACTGGAATGTCCAAAATATTCCAATGCCTTTAAAGACCTTTGCCTCTTTTAATAGTGTATGCGGAGGACAAAGGGGGATCACAAAAGGTACATAGGGTCCACCAAACACTTTTCTACTACAGTTCCCCCTCAAGACCCCCTCTCCCCTCCCCCCCCTCTCCTCTACATACCTCAGATCAGAAACTCAATGACCATAGCTAGAAAATATATTTTGTTTTGTTTTATCAAGTACTATATCAATACCTGAGCTTTGATGGCTACATCCTTCAATGTTGGTAGAAGATTGGATCTCACACGGTTAGTAAAGTTGACAATTCCCCTTAACACTTTGTCCATAGTTGTACGAAAGAGATGATCTACGGTACCTGTTGGTAAGAAATCAAATCCTTACATAGGAAAATAGATGCTTGTGATGATAAAGACCTATTGTAACTCTTAATTAAACTCTTCGCTGTTCATTTATATCTTAATAGTTACCTTATTTCAACAGTGAATTTTWATTTCGTGTGAATTTTTGCCTTCTATCCGAGACTCGTGTCACTCATTCGTTTTCGCWACYTTYACAAYCTTGTCGGCRAAAGCCTGGTGACGAGTTCGTCCCAGTACACACAGAAGACSGCGCTACAAAATAATGGCGGGCATTTCGAGTGGGGAGATACTTTCGTTAGAAGAAGTCTTACGAATAGGAGAAAATTCCGTTGGAAAATCAGTCAGAACTTGGGGAAGGTAAGTATATTATACATTCCTTAATATACATGTGTAGTTTTTTTTTCATATTATATTATTAGAATATTTTTTTAATCARAGTTCGAATACGAGCAGTCTACAATGTTGAAAATAAAATTTTATTGTTTAGAATTGTATCCCACGATATTCGATGTAGTCAGGCTAGAATTAAAGACAACAGCAAGGAAATAACGATAGATACAACTTTTGTGGAGCCTCTTGCGTTCACCAAGGGATCAATGTATAACTTTATTGGAGAGATCATTTCATTGCCTGGGATTCCTGTGGCGATTAAGGCAAGAATAGCGACTTGCATCGATGGAATGGATATTMATCTCTTTAAGCAAGCTTTAGATATTAGAAGACGTTTTCTGCAGGAAGAGCCAACCTCTACTTCATAATTACAGAAGTAATATTTGTGTATTTAAATTGGGCAGTATTTAAAAACATTGCTAAATTTTGTTTGTTATAAGCAGCATTCATTGCAACATTGTATTTTCAAATTTTCATTTGTATTTTAAGAACTTGATTTCTCAGTTATATTACCAATTCATATATTTGTAATAAAAATGAGCAATACAAAAGAGAGTTAAAAGAAATCAACTGCTTTGGATCGTTTCTTGGGAGTGAACTTCTTGGTGTTYGGTGTAGACTGTGGTGAGTCTGTCTTCAACAAACCAAATGCTGGACTTCGACTKGCATCAAAAGGGACAGATGGACTTGTTTTCAGGCTTTGAACATAATCTGAATAGAAATGACATCAAATGATCAGACATATGGTCAATAAATGGCATGGTGACAGCAGATCGACTCTTATTTTTCATCAAAATGCTACTGAAGGACAGCTTCCTAGTTTTTACAGACATTTACATAATGGTAGAAAGGTACTTTAAACAATAAATATGATTACCTAATGTAGTCTGTGCTTTATTTTTAGACAGTTCAATAGTGACTTTCTTTCTTGAAGGATGAGGAGCTGACTTAGGAGTGGACAGCTGGTGAAGAAAGTTGATTACAGTATTGTTGAGTTTTAAGTCTAGGCTTGTTTTGGATTGGTTTAGCCTACACAGCTAATACTTCCCTGCACTAAGAATGTGATTTGTGGTACATAWTAATTTTACAGACTTGCTGTGCACATGTAATACACTCTAAAACTGAAAATACCTGTAAATCTCTGACTTTCTTTGGTTCTGTTTGAGGTACTGCTTTCCGGACATAAGCTGGTGGAGTCTTGGTCTTCATAAATGTAGCAAAAGCTTGGGGTGTCATATTTCTTTCATTCTTGTCTTTTTTCTTCTTCAATATGGTTGCTTGAGGAGTCTGTGAAGCTGCATTTGCTTCAGATATCTTTTGTCTCATCTCCTTTAAAGTTTTATCTAACTCATCTTCAGATACTCCATTTTTGGAAACTTGTTTGTCAACCTGACTTTGATTTGAGAGTTCGTTTTGTTTGTCAGTGAGATGGCTTTCATTCAAACTATTATTTTGAGAAGGTATTTTGTTCTGTGACTTCTTCTTTTGTTTGTGTTCTTTTTTGCCATCTTTTTCATTTTGATTTTCATCRAGGGAACATTTTTTCTTTGTTTTCCTGTTCATCTGCTCTATTTCATCCAAATGGTTCAAGCCACTGGCATTTTCATCATTATTGTTATGAATAATTTTAGGTTTTCTTTTCMCTCTTCTTACATTTGACTCCGCCATAGTATTTTCATTCTTCTCTGAATCATCTAATTGTTGCTCTTCCTTATTCCCTTCACCATTTTGGTGCTCAGTATCAACCATTTCAGCATTCCTTTTCTTTTTTCTTTTCTTTTTACTTGCCACTTTCTCTTCACTGTTTTCTTCGTTGATGCATTGTTTTTCTGATGTGCCATTGAAATGAGTAAATTCAGCTTGATCAGTCTTTCTCTTCAGCTCTTTCTTCTTCTTGTTATTAACCTCTCCTTCATTTTCTTCTAAATCATCTATTTTCCTCTTCTTGGAGGTACTTTGTGRAGTCTTTGTGGTGTCTAAACACAAAAACATGAGTCTAAAACTAGCTGCTACAAATTGGAAGTGAAGAAGAAAACAATATTCAATAATAATTTAAAATGATAGTCATGATAATATAGTACAGTTGATTTCAGAAATACTTGTTACCTGGAATTGATTTCTTGAATCTGTTTAAAGATTAGAAATTTTGTCAGTTTAATGACTATGGTTACTTTTAGATTACTTTTCGTCCAGCCATTGCTTACTTTTTRATATACAAATAAAGCATGTTCCTGTTTCTTCCCAAGATTTCTCTTTTGCTTGCTAAACTGAAGAGCCTTTCTGTTATGTCTTSGAGGTTGATCTAAAGTAGACTTTGCATTAGAAGTACGACTTTACATGTATACTAAGTGAWGGCCAATCTGTTAGAAATCTTACCTCTAAACTACTGTTTTCTTCATTGACTCCTTCATTTTCGTTATCCTCATTATTGACCTCATTTCCATTCTGTTTTCCACCTTGTCTTGATTCTATTTCTGCTATCTTTTCAAAYACTCCTTCTTTCAAAGCCCTTGAAACGACTTGACTATAAATTCAACAAAATTTAATGGCAAAATAAGAGATAATATGCAAAGCAAATACAAAATATAATGTAATGTGCCTAATACATTTACCTCTTGGTTTGAGCAGCAAGGATGAAGAAAGGTTCTAACAGAATTGAAACAGCTTCGCATGGTATCTGTAATATTTGAATTGAAAACAATTAATAAAATAAGAATAATAAAGAATTGAAATACAATGGAAAGAGCTATAACTAGAATAAAAACATTTGTACAACATCCATTTGCCTGAATGTGACATTCATCAATTKAAATTACTACCAATTGTACCTTTTTGCATTTMAAGCCTTCTAATTCAKTTAAAAATATGCTGCAAAGATGTAGTCTGATCCCAACAGGCGCCTAACAACAGAAATATTTATTTACAAAATTAATTATATTTGTTGATTGTTGGTATAGTGTTTAGATAGCATTTGTCTTACACTCTCTAAAGTAGGATTGAGTGGTCCTTCCTTGTAAATGGTAGAAAGTCTTGAACATAAACTAGGAAAGCCAAATTATTGAGAAAAGGTTTTAGTTAYCAAGAAATATAACAAATCAAAAAGGAAAAACTTCTTTTAAGAACACTAGTTTTCTAAAGACAATTACTAGTAATAATATTTATCAATAGAATGATATGTTTTATGTAATATATACAATATGAGCGGGCGATCTGTATGAGGATTTAAAACAGCGAGCTGAAACGTTGAGGTAAACTAGCTCAGGTTTTAAAGAAACTTTTGAAAAAAAATCAATCTGACCGAGAAAATCAGAGTTAAAGTTTATGCAAATGAACAAGAAATCTGTATGTAATATACAACTCTTCATGGGCTATGATTTCTATTGTGTTTTGCCTTATGAATATTAATGAGTTTTATAAATAATATGCACATTTATGTGTAAAATGTCATTGTACATCTCAATTACCTTGATTTCCAATTGCTTTTACTTAAGAATTCAAAATTCTCTTTGATAAAAAATCGTATCAACTATAAACAAAGAGGAAACATTWAAAGTTGATATCAATAAATGGTATTCCATCATGTGAAACTTCAATATGACAATGAATAAATCATATTGTATACCATATAAAACTTGTCTAATCTTAATCGATCAATGCCATGCCATTCTTTATGGAAAGTCTTGAAAAATGTTACAATAAAATTAAAACCTATAAGAAAATAAAAAATAATAATTCAATAAAATACTTATAATAATTTCTTCTGATTATAAYTATTATAATCATAATAATTACCTGAATCAATGTTTTTAAAGCTATGGAGTAGTTTTGAGATATTTGTAGCAAGCTCTTCCTGAAAGGTTGATGAAGTAAAGATCAATGAATGGTATTTATTTATTTATTTCTTCTATGCACGAGTTTTTTACCATTCAAGTGTTGTAAAGTCATGATAGCATAATAGTCTAAAATCTGTTTCAATCTCATTTTAGAAAACCGCTTTTGGTACAAGGTAATGAGGAACATTTATCTAAACMTAGGTAGTTAAAGTAATACTAACTTCTACTGTAAATACTGATATTTCACCAACCTGTATTAAAGGTTTATCTGACATCCAGAAGCAATAGAATAAACCTTTCCATATTTTAAGAAGTTCTATTTCACCAAAGGCTAGAAAATAGAATTAAAGAATACAGTTATAGTACCTGTWTGCCATAAAAACGGTACGTTTGTTATATAAGCTCAATATTGTATAAAATTGCAGTATAATATTAATGTGGAATCTTACTATGCTTATCTAGTGATCAGTTTGTGAAGTCTCTTATGAATTAAGAAGTTATTTTTGGTTTGGAGGCAAAATCACACAAAATAAGCTATAAACAACATGTGTTTGTCGCAATCTTAATCTCCCATTTTCACTATCTATCGTATTAGATTACCTGGAGAAGTAGAAGGCCGACTTGCTATCCATGCCTGTAGTCTTTTTACAGCTCTATCCCTAATCGTTTTGTCATTATTCGCTAATTTCTTAGCGAAATGTTCCTCTGCTCCTCCAAGACCGACCGCCATCTTGAAAACGTGGTTTTATAGGTAAACCAGCTGTACATGTTTAACGAAGGCTCATATGCTATATGTTCTAATAGAAGAACGACGCGGTTAGTCGCAAGTCAAGTCCTCACCTGTTTGAASAGCAAAATGCCGAATAAGAAGAACAAAAACCAGCCTAAAAATGCCTTTTACTTTTATATGGTTTCGTTAAAACCACAATTGCAGCGTCAGGGAGTGGTTTTAGAGAATGGGATGCAGAGTTTAGCCGAGATAGCGGGACCTCGCTGGAAGGTTTGTAGTTTCTCGTTCATTCTTGACAAGCTGTGTTTATTTTAGTTGACGCGTTAACATTATTCCCGTGGTTGAAAGAACATTAGTTTTAAAAGAAATAAGATTACACCTATTATATATATATTTTTCAAGTCAAAGTATTTTTCATAAATCGATAACATCATCATATCCGCACGGAGGTATAAATAGGTATGCGATCCATGCGATTTTTCAACCGTGACGTCATATTTTGACACCTTTGTTTTGACTTCTATACCTGTAAGAATTTCGAGGAGAATACAAAAAATTCTTTGAAGAATAAATATCCTTTTTTTTATTCATTTTCTAAATTTATTAAAGCAAATGGCTTCAATAGTAAAAACTGTTTTGAAACCTAAAGATAGAAAGTAAAACTTCAAGTTAATACCTGGTTAAATAAAATTGTGAAAGGGAAATACAGTTTATAATCAAAGAAACATTTCCCATCATAATATGGAACCGGAACCTCATAAAAGGTGGACATACATTTTTAAATTAATACAAATTTATATATTTGTATTCTAATAATAATAATCCCTTCTGGGTTTCTCTGGCCCAATATCTCTCGGAGCAGCTGGGAACATCTGGCTATGCAGGCTAGGCTTTTATATTACCATATAAAAAGAAAATTTGAATTCTATAAAGAAAAGGCTTAGTTCTTTATTAGGATCTGTTGATAATCAGTGTTTTATTTGGAGGGATAAAATGAGCAGTGCAATGTCTTTAGGAGTTACCAGAACATGAAAAGGAAGTATATCAGGAAATGGCCAGACAAGCAAAATCAAACAGACAATATGGACCAACACGTAATGATCGTAGAGACTGTACTGGACAACTACTGTCTGTAAGTATACAATAGATGACATGACAAATTATAAAGATGATGCCTGGCACTGGTTATTAGTATTGAAAGTGTTTCTTTCATTTTCATAGCAAAGAGTTGATGCTGTTAGCCTGAATGAAAACAAAAGACGAAGGCAAAGAGATGAAGTGAAATTAACTTGGCCTCCAGGAAAATGTAATTCGATATATTATGTCTAAAGCTTAAGTTTGTTTGCTTAAAAATTGGAATTAAACCTCATGTTTTAGTACATGTATACCACAGTTGAGCACGGTTTATTTAATTTTGCAGTGGTCTGTGATGAAAGTTTCTACTTGATTGGGTTCATGTCCCTCTGTGAAGCTTCAGATCATGTACAGCTCCCCTGTGAACTGGGAGTCGCAGAATTCTCTATCAATGGTGGTATCATCAAATCTATGCACAGATTCATTAAACCTGGTAGGTCTATACTAACTGCTGCAAAATAAAATCACATTGCTTGGTACCAATAACTTACATGTATAAGGTAGTCATGATAGCACAACTAATGGTAGGCATGCCTTGATATATTCCTGTAATTATATATGCCCTAGGTGTGTGTGARGGAAGGTCTTGTAGCAAGCTTACTTCATTCTAGCTACAACTTGGATTGGATTATTGCTCTGTTTCAAATTAATTGTTTCATGTTTTTGTCATTTGTTGATAGGTGAAATTCCACTTGGCTACAGATTTCAATGTACTAACACAAGTAGGTGTTTTTAGACCATGTATTTGTTTTTTTGTTTTTGTTTTTTCTCTTCTTCTTATTTATTTATTTCAAAAACAAGTAATTAATACAAAATACTACAATTTACATACACTTTACACACAAATTACTTTTGTATTTGTAGCATGAMCAATAGACTAATCTACTTGTGGTTCTCTGCAATGTATAAATTTACCATCTTAATTCTAGATGTTTTATCAAACAGCACTGTTGTCTCATCCATCCCATCCCTCCCTCCCTTCCTATTTTCATTCATTCATTATTGCATGTACCTGCCCATACAACTATTCTCTCATATATTTGTCCTTCTTAGGTGAGAAAACCCATAAAATACCATTGTCTGGTCTCGCAAAAGAAGGAGACTCMTATTACAATATTTTTATGGATCTGCTGGGATTTGTAAATCCTGATGAAGGGAATAATGCATTTCCACCAGTATATAGCAGAGTAAGTGAGCAAATTACTCTTTTCCTTCACATAAAAAAAAACAGTCTTAAACGCACTTTATTTTAATAACATATTATCCATCTTACACTTAGAAATTATTTAAGAGATCAATCTTATGACTTTTTGATTGGCATTATGGTACAGGATTAAAACACAYGTATCAACCTATAATTTACAATTGAATTTTTATATATAGGCATCAGAAGCAACACAAACAGAATTATGCTTGGACTGGTTAGCTATGAGTGCAGGTAAACAAGATGTGTTCATTTTAGAGAAAGACCTTTTTTATATTYTTTGTAATGGTTAATGGTTTCCTTGAATTCAGTTGATCTGAATTATATTCATATATCCTTTACGCATGTTTTAGGAATGCCAAACAGACTAAAGAAAGTTTATGAACTAGAAGGTCTTATCTGTGATCTCTATGAGCATATTACAAAAGGTGAAAGCTCAAAGATATCAAAAGCCCAAGCAACAGAACTTATATCATCTACAATGTTTGACTATGAACTTGGTTCAAGGTAAACATATCAAAACAGTATTCAGGGTTCGCGCTACTCCTTGAACTCCTTGAAAAGCCCTTGATTCAGAAACTCAAGTCCTTGAAAATGGGAAAAATGCCAAAAATCCTTGAAACTCCTTGATTTTTTTACTCAGAGTTGTATTTTCAATCTTGCAAGATTAAAAGCACATTATAAAGTGTAATCTTCTGAAGGTATTTTTTCTGATGGCCCGCTCAAGCTTTCTCGCTCTTGGGATTTCTGTCTCTTTTGTAAGCGCATGCGTGGCTTGATATCGCAGGGATCCAATTACAGAAATTTGATTTTTGTCCTTGAAAATCAATATTTTTGTGCTTGAAAAGCCCTTGAAAAGTCCTTGAAATTTTGATAAGAAATGTAGCACGAACCCTGAGTATTTATAGTGGAAAAAATTGATGATTAAAGTGAAGCAAAATGTCATCAAAGTGAATTTGAAATTCATGTTTTTTATCAGGTGTGATTATCATCAAACAGAGGAAGTGAAATTCTGTGCCCTTGGAACAGTCAAGCGTAATTGGTAAAGACGATAATCTAAAACATTAGTTAACTAAAYATTATATGATAACTTTTATTCTTGTTTTATAGCTATTGTATGGCTGACTTTCTTTGTCCTCACTACAACATTACCCTCACCACCAAACATATGCCAGAGAGACCAGAAGGGTCATTTGGTGTAGTCTTAAATGATACCACTGATTCCTATAGTAAACAATATACTGAATACGATGATGAATTCACTTACCCTGCATACACACAGAGGCCATGTTTTGGTAAGTTAAAGAAATGAAGGTCAAAGGTTTATATTTATTTTTATACAAATTTACTATAGTTATTTTTTTGGCATCTCAGGCCGTTTACGCAGTAATTATAATATAATGCCTTTGTGTTAATACTTGAAAGAACTTTGAGTGCAAATACTTTATATGTGAACATTAAATTCTGCTAGTATTTTCTGGTTACATTTAGGCAAGTCACTTGTATCAATATTGGTCATATTTCCCTTATAGTTATAACCAAAGCTTGATATTATGAACCCACAAAGTGAAGGCAACTGTTAAACTATGGATATCTTTGATTCAGGTCGGGGCTATGGAAACARTGACAACCAATACAGTAGATCTGGACCCACATATGAAGGTGCCAACCCATCTTCAGGGGCCTCTAATGCATCATGGTATCAAAGATCACTAAATGAAGATGAACAGGTTAAACAGCAGCTATTACTTGCTCCTGCTACAAATAACAGCAACTCAAGATTTCCTGTAGGGCGTGGTCGTGGAAGGGGTAGAGGTGTACCATCATCAAACAGACCAGGTTTGTTAAGAGTGTAATTAGGGTACAAAGTTAATAAGTTAAGTGTATGTTTACCTTGTTTCAGGTCCACCAGGTGAATTGCTACAAACAGGTCCAGTTRCAGGTAGAGGTAGAGCTGTTCGTATTCCAAATACAAAACCYAAGGTATATGCAGGAACTGCAAATGCACCACACCCTTCTGCCGCCCCTGCTCCTCCTCTGTCATGGCAACAATCTCCACAACAACAAGAATATTACCAACAACAWCAATATCGACAACAACCATATCAATATCAACACAAATATCATCAGGATCAACAACAGCAAAACTTTCATGGATACAATGSTGGACAAACAAATCAGTTACCTTGGCAACAAGGACAATATGCTTCGGGCTCAGCTGTACGTGGCATGAATTCGATTGATGATGTCATGAGAATGATGTCGAATGTCAACATGTTATCGAACCAATAGGAGTTRCTTAGCAACTCCATTATCCTGGCAACTCACATGATTGCAGTAGTTGATCACAATTTTTTTTTCATAAGATTGTTCATATTAGTTGACGTAATATGTTTGAAAGTTCATTTTTTTATAGTTAAGATTTTATGATCACATTACATCAACTAATGATTACAATGCTTGCTCTCTTGTGTACAGACTGTAAATACATTGAACTATCCTTATAAATCAATATTATTTACATACATAGGATATGACTTATGCATCATACAAGTAGACTTACACAAGTAGTTCATTTGTTTGTTAGACRTTATAGTTATTGTTCAACATTACGTTCTTCCTCATCTAGTGTTTTTCCAATGCAATTTGATGTATTTTYTAAACAGGAAGCATTCACTTTCTGAATTAGCAAATATAAATTGACCATTTTAGGCAACAGGAATATGTCAGTACAATTTGATCTCTAAATTTCAAACTATTGCTTTCTTAGATAGAATATTTTAATGTTCAAATATTGCTTCACAGCTGCTCAAAAGTCCACATTAAATTAACATATGCACCAGAACAATATATTCAGTAAAGCTTTTGACAGATTAAAATATCAGAGTCATTTCCAAGTTTATCGACAAAAAGTTTGAATTCTAATGTCGTTTTAGAACTCATGTTGTAGAGTGAACGTACTAAATCCATGAAACAAATAATTACGACTAAAAAGTGTCGGTAATGCAATAGACGTCGAGAATTAGACTAGCATGATCTGTTTTTGGTTCACGGACKAAGTGCGTTCAATCTGCTGGAAGCACACATCTTAACAAATTTTATCGCAAGCAGTACTCCTAGTTTAGTTAAAAGTACTTGTTTTTATATGTTCACATTAATATTAAAATCTGAAATACAAAGTAATTTTCATGGCTGTTTTGAGTAGTTTAAAGAGTTGGTTAGCTTCAGGCAGTAGTAGTAGTAGTGGTAGACCCTTGGCTTCTTTTGTTCACTATCGACTACCACAAAATAGTAGTCATTTTCTTTTCCACATTCCAAGGAAAACCACTTTTTGATTATGGTCCATGGGTTTTATGATAACTCTAAACCCGTGAAACAAAGTCTAAGAGTGTGTCGTAGTCGAGATGTAATTGTGAGAAAACGACAACCTCCTCCCATGATACACCACATTTTAAAATGCACCCCGCCGAGAGGCGAAGAGCAAAGAAAACACTCCTTGTGGCGGGAACTAGGGAAAATAGTCCTCCCGGAAGTTTATAGCAGAGGGTCTCAATGGGGTTAACCGTGAGCCGTGAAACGGCTGAAAATTAGCCGTGAGTCGTGAAAATGAGAAAGATTTAGCCATGAGGCGTGAATACTTTTTTATACGTGAGCCATGATTCAGTTTTGTCCCTCAGAAGGACAGTCAACCCCAGGCGCGCGCTTGTAATTTTTATTTTCTTTTTTTTTTGTAAATTTAAAAAATAAAGCTTTAGTGGAGATTTTTCAAAAAGTTATATGTCTGGGAGTCAAAATAATCCACCAAAATCACAGTAAAATGTAAGTCCAGTCTAATCAAAGATAATTTTCTGTATTTAGGTGCCCTTTTGACCAAATTCAGTTAACAATTTAAAGATTCTTCGCCGCTCGCCATAGTATACAATGGACTTGGCACTTTTTTTTCACTTCTCTGGACGAACTCCCGGACAGAATGTCACGAAAGACTAAATGTCCGGGAGTCAAAATAATTCATTCTCTTCAATTATTAGTATTCACTAGTTTATATTCAATAATTATTTGATAATCAATATTAATCCATTTGTAAACGAAATGTGGAACGTTCGAGTGTAATGTTGGAGTTTCAGAGGTCTTAACTGTGTTTAGTTGAATCCCGGCAAATCTTTGGCAACAGTATCTGTTAAGAATTTCAATTAGATATTAGATATCTATAAGTGTCTTCATAGTACGATGGTCTAAGAGGGTGGCTAAAGGTATGCTCTAGTGGGCGGCTACCCCCTCACTCCCTGGCCTTTTGGTTAAGACTAAGTTTTATGTTCACTCGGGATAGCGTGGAAGAGCCGAAATCTCTAACCGTAACGTAAGCCGATTCGACGCCTCAGCTTCATAGAATGTCTCGGGGGAATCGTCCCATCTTTTTAGATTTTTGTTTTTATTATTTCTTATGTATTCCGGGGGGTGCATCTTCTCCTGAAGTGAAAGTCCTGAGTTCGAGTCCTGCTGCTGGAATTTCTCTTTTTTGCTTGCGTATTGTTTCTTTTGCGTTTGTTTCTAGTCTTTCTTTTTTGCTCTTTTTTATTTAGTCTTTTTCTTTGCTGTTTTCACTTCGTTTTCTTTTTTCTAGTGATTTTCTCTTTTCATCTTAAAGGACTCGCAAGGAACGCCTGCTACAAGTGTGGATGGTTACGAAGAACAGTCAACTCCAGGCGCGCGCTTGTA